CGTCTCTTTGACTTCGTGGTCGACAAGCACAGCGAGCTTGCGCACCTGGGAATGTCAAAGTTTAGGGGGCGAGTCGTGTTCCAAGGGAACAGCGTCAAAGACGAGAGCGGACTTGCAGCCCTCTTCGCAGAGGCTGCCAGCTCTGCGTCACATATCGAGGCTAGTAAAGTCATCGACGCCGTGCCATGTCTGCCCGGCTGCAGTGGTCAACAGAGTGACGCTGTGAGCGCATGCACGCAGGCCCTGCTGTATGGAGACGGAAGAATTGTCAACGTCGACGCGTGGGTCGAACTACCTCGAGATCGGTGGCCCAAGGAATGGGGCAACAAATGCCGGAGGCCAGTCGTGCAGCTTCGGCTGGCCCTTTACGGACATCCACTGTCCGATGTGTCCTGGGAACGGCACTGCCAGAAGGCGCTGTTCTCGGCAGGCTGGGAGCTGATCGAGGGCTGGGAGTCCACCTTCCGCCGCGAAGCTCGGCCTGGTGCTGTCCGTCTACGTTGACGACTTCAAGATGGCAGGGCGCGCCGAGAACCTCCAGAAGGGCTGGGACAGCATTACTACTGCTGGGATCCGCTTGGATCCGCCCGAACCTATGGGACGCTTCCTTGGCTGTTCTGTCGAGGACATTGCGATCTCAGAGGAGGAGGCTTCACTGCGACTGGAACACGTGCGCCCGGTGATCGACGCCCAGGAGTATGACAAATACCATGGCGATGATGCTGCGGGGGGGGCCCGTAGGCCCGTAGAGGGGCAACCCTCTGCTGCTGGTAGTAAAATGAAAGGGACACCGGCGGAGGGGCAACCCTCTGCTGCGTTTCCAGTCGGCTCTGCCCGCGAGGGGCCAGAGAACCCCCGCCGCGAATGCGGGGGGCGGATCGACCAACTGATTGCCGAAATCAAAGCAAAGCGGTATCACATGCTTGAAAACTGTGACCAATGTGTGAACCGCTACCTTGAAGTTGCCAAGATCGGGATATCAGGCCTACGCAAGGCTGATACGCCAGGTCTGGACGATGCTAACTTCAAGAAAAAGGATTTCGAGACAGTCGGTACGTTGGGACCGTCCGCGGCGAGTGTACTAATGAAGATTTTGTACCTTGCCAGGGTCTGTAGGCCCGACCTGTTCCATGGCGTATGCATGTTGGCTAGAGAGATTACTAAGTGGAACCGTGTATGCGACCGCCGGTTGCACCGTCTGGTCTCCTATCTCCACCAACATCGCGGTCACAGCCTGGAGGGGTTCATTGGCGACGATCCTAGGGATCTGACGCTAGTGCAATACACCGATGCTTCTTTTGCAGACTGCTCCCAGACGAGCAGGTCAACGACAGGAGGATATATTGCCCTGGTCGGGCCCAGGAGCTTCTTTCCCCTGAACTTCATATGCAAGAATCAGACGTGGGTGTCACACTCATCTACGGAAAGCGAGATCGTTGCACTTGACACGTGCCTCAGGACCGAGAGTCTGCCGATGCTGTGCATTTGGGACGACATTTGCGAGACACTGTACCCCGCTCAAACGGGGTGACTGCGCGCCACGCTGCGGGGGGGCAACCTTCCGCTAGCCAAGCGTCCAGGGCCAAGACCCTATCGCTGTGGGACACAGTTCTGAATGTCCCAGTTGCGGAAGGGCAACCTTCTGCCCCTTCCGACAATCGCCATAGGACGCGACTTGTCATAGCAGAGGATAACGAGGCCGTGATCAAGATCCTGCTCAAATGGCGTACCAGTGCATTTCGGCACTTGCCACGCACACACATAATCAACCTTGATTGGATAGTCGAGGTCATTCGCTCCGAGCAGGTCAAGATTCGCTACTGCAGAACTACAGCTCAGTTAGCTGACATGATGACCAAGCACTTCAGCAAGCCTGAGGTGTGGTCGGCGCTATTGCACATGTGCCAGGTGCGGCAGAACCGCGAGCCGGTACCAGACCGCGACCCGAACGGTGGATCGGGCAAAAGCGCTACTAAGAAGAAAAAGGTACCTAGAGAGAAAACAAATAAACCCTACCGTGCTAAGGCCGAGGACAGCTCGGCCGAGAGCGCCGCTGAGGCTCAAGCGGGTGGGCAACCGCTTGCAAAGGGGAAACCCGTTAGGGGCCCCCGAGCGTGCGTCGCTCTCAGAGGTGTCCTCAGTGCCAGTTTGTGTTCTTCAACCTCTGCCCTTCACTCTCCTACTTCCTCCGGGGGGTTTGGGATCGAGGGTAATTACACAGGGAGTAGGATCAGGAAGGAAGCTCGCCCCGCGCAGCCGTTTCTGCTTCAGCAGGACCCGCGCGCGGCCAGCGCTCCTCGTTCTCTCCTCCCCGTCGTTATAAGGAGGTTGGGGTCACTGGTCTCATCGTCCCGAAACATGCACGCTCCTCCGCGTGTTGGCTGTGAGAATGCCCCCTGGAGGGCTGGTGCGCCTGGTGCTTCGTCCAGTGGTCGTGCGCTGGGGCAACCCAGCGCCAGTCCAGACGAGACGGATGCTCCTGGTGCGTCATCGAGCGGGCCTGCGCTGGGGCAACCCAGTGCTGCGCCGCCCTCGGCGCCACCGTTGGTGGCAGCAGCCCAGCCTACTACGGCTAAGGAGGACAATAACAAGCTGTGGAGTCTGATCGGCGAAATCACGCTGAAATACCTCGGAGGCGTGCTCGAGAGCACGAGCGGCGGCGCCCCCGTGGCTGCTACCCCTGGGATCGACAACCTGCGTAGTCTGGTTGATTGTTTCACGAGGGACACGGGTTATGGCCCTATCGTGGAGGATAGCTTTTGCAGCCTGGCAACGGGCCGCACACTGGCAATCCAGGACCCCGCCACTGTCGACGACGACTGGCGGGTGCCCCATGGGTTTACCATTCCCGAACCGGGCAGCACGGATCTGGACAGGGTTCGATCGGCGGAGATAACCCCTCCGAAAGAGTTGGAGCGGGTCTCTGTCCAGCTGAAGCGACGTAAGAACGTTCGAGACCCTCAGTGCCTGGTGCAAGGGTTCCTTGACGAGGACTTCGTGATGGCGGAGGCGCTGACCGTGCCGTTTACACAGACGGTTCTGGTAAGCGACTCCACGCTGACCATGAATCTTCCGCGTGACCCCGTCGCCAGGATAGCAATGCTGGAGAAGACAGCAGGCCGCGAGCTCATTGCCTCGACGGTCGCGGGCGGCGTCTTCCTCAACGAGCTTCTTGGGCTGGTGGCGCTGGCCAGGCTTCGCTTGGCGGGTGCCGACGAGCGGTTTGCCTCTGTCGGTGACCTTCCTGTTCCTGAACGAGGAGCAGACTTGTGGCAGGTGAACGTATGCACGGCTACCGAAGGTCGAGCGCGTTCAGTGCAGACGCTCCAGGATCAGGAGGCCTTGGTGGAATTGGCGCTTGGGGCAACCCGCGCTGACCCAGAGGCTGGCATGTCGACTCTGGCGGTCATTGTCTGGTCGTGAAACGACCTCGCGACGTCAAGGGCCAAGAGTATGAACAAGGCCACGACTAGCGAGGGAGTGCTCAACCACTTCACCACCGACTGCACCAAAGCTCTGGAGCAGGTTGGGAAGATGGCGTCGTGCTTCGGAGGCGTGATGGTCATAGGTCCGGGTTCTTCCGGCCTGTGGCGCGTCGGCACGAAGTTCGACGAGCACGTTTGGACGATCCAGAACGAGCTGGCCAAGAAAGGAGTTATCTTCGTGAACCCCGCCCGATACGAGGATTATCCGAGGGGAGAAGGGGACACATACCACTTCCTCTCTACGGCGACCAACGAGCAAGGTCTAGCGTGGATTATCCACAGCGCGTGCCAGGCGGCACAGGCAACGGCATTCTTGCGAACGAGCTGGTACTTGAATCAGTTCCCCAAGCCGATGGGGTATGTACAAGACCGTCTCCTCCAGGAACACTGGGACGCCAAGGAATTGGCGTCGTGGAAGACGATGAAAGCCGAGCGAGCCACGGTCAACGCGACCACTGCGCTCTCAGATCTTCTCACTGCTGCTGAGGGGATGTGGAACGAGCAATGCAGTGCGGCCCTCGAGTCCCAGTACCGTGCGGAGGTTACGGGCCAACCGGCTGCGGGGCAACCCGCAGCAGGCGACTCCGCCTTCCAGGAGCAAGACCGCTTCTCGCAGCTGCCAGCTGCGAGGGTCGAACTCGACGGGCACGAAGGACGTTTCATCGCTGATTCAGTGTCCCAGGCTATAAGCCACCGGGCAGCAACGGAGTACGATGCCGTCGTGGAAAAGTACGGCGTGTTCAAGGCTCTGATGTATCCAGGCAGCTACGGTGGGCAAGGGGCGGCGTACCTGCGCCCCGAAGTCCATGCCAGCTTCCCGGTTGTCTACCCTGAACGCGGCGCTGGCGACGGCGCGCCACCGAGACGATATCCCAGTGATGAGGCTTTGGCCCACATTGGCTCGGTGGGCGACTACTTCGTGGCTGGCCCGGAGAAATACGGATGTATAATGTGGAGGCTTCCGCCCAGGTGTGACCTCATGGGTCACGTCGAGAAATACATGGCACCGGGTGAAGTCTTTGGCCCTGCGTTGAGGATGTTAACCATGAGGGCTGGATCTCAGCTCGCATAGGTGAAAAACCACGCGCCCTTGGCGGTTGGGTCGAGATATGGAAAAAGGGCAAGAATCTGGCAATGAAGTGCACTCCAGACGGGACGATCATCGGGGTACCGGTGCCTGTTCCCGCCGACCACAGTGCGCCTCCAAGGCCAACTACTGCTCCTCCCACGGCTGCACCGCCTCCGAAGGGGCCACCGGCACCGAGCGCGAAGCCGACGGCACCTGTGCCTACTGCTTCCGTTGCTCCGAGTGCTACGCCCAAGCCAATCGCGCCTACCTTTAACGTGGCAAGCAGGGCGATGGGGCAACCCAACGCAGCTGAGCCCAAGGCGCGGCCAACCTCAGCAGACCACCATGCCGCTGCTGCGGGGGGGGAACCTCCTGCTAAAGCGGCTCGTGTCGGGGCTTATGACCCTTGCATTCATGGTGGCTCAGGGGGGACTCGGCTCGAGGACATGCCTGTCCTTGATTGGGCAAGCGCCTACACCATCTATATGATGCGGGACAAAGCCATGCGCCTCGAGGACAAGTACCCCGGTGGACACTGGTATAGTCTGTGCACTGTCGCGGACCGACCGATGGGTGCGAAGCTGAACGAGCTTCCCCCATCCCTGTCTCGGCACAAAGGATGGGTGGCTCACCTGTTCAGACACACGAAGAAGTACCTCGGGCGAGCCGATAGCGCTATACCGATGCCAGACGTCATTAGCGAGTTTCGGTCGAAGTTCGGGGGCGCTTCTACGTTCTTCAACGACATCAGGAATGATGATGAAGTTACGGATACAACGCTCAAGAAACGCCCGACGAGCCCGGAGATGTGGACTCGATGGATTCTCCAGTACTTTGTTGCTACCTGCTTCGAGGAAATGGCCAGGTTCGAGGTCTTCATGTATGACCGCGACGAAGACTCCGCGACAAGGCCGAAGCCCAACTTGTGCTCCGACCATGGTATTGCAGATCAGGTGCTTGCGGCGGGGCAACCCCCCGCGACGCCCGTTCAGAGACGTGGTTCGGTTGGGGAGATCATCTATGGTGATTACTCCAACGTGGTTGGGATTCGTGCTTGCGGCGGTCACAGCCAATTTAGGTGGGGCGGCGACTTGGAATCCAAGGGTTGGACCAGAGTCGATTCTAGCAGAATTCCACGTGTCTGGCATGGCACGTCATTGGATGCGCGTGCTGGAGTTGAGCGTACTGGGCTCCGACCGGGCGGAAGGATTAGCAGCAGAATGATGACTTTCTTCTCCGGGCCATTCCTCCCAAGGTTGGTCCTCCGGATAAGAACGTCGACTGCAGACCGTACACTGATACGAGAAAGGGTAAAACGGATCTGTACTTGTGTATCGACGTAGCCAAAGCTGAGAAGTTTGGTTGCGAGTTCGGTATCTCACAGCAGCACGCGGTGATGTGCCCTGACCTTATTCCCCAGGAGTGTTTTATCTACTGGGCGAATACGGTCACAGGGAAGATCACGCGCCCGCGCGCTCCCGCACTCGTCGCATTAGCAGCGACAGGAGGTCTGATCGATTCAGAACCGAAGGAGTACTTCGATGCGCTGATTGTCGCACCGAAGCCTAAGGACCCGGCCATCCACAAGGGACCGACCGCGAGGGGCGCCGTTGCGGCGGGGCAACCCGCTGCGAGCGGCCCTCCTACTCGGGCCCCGTGGGCCAGGCCGAGTGTTCCTAAGGCTCCTCCCCCGGGCTTTGGGGAAAGTGTGCGACATGCTAAGCCGCCTCCACCCAAGTACACTCCGTACCCGCTCAAGAAACTACCGAAGCCCGTGCCGCCAGGGCCTGTCCCTGCGGGCACGGTGCTACCATGGAGCGAGGACAGCGCGAAAGCTGCTCCTGGTCCTGCCAAGAAGGCACCACCTGCGATGCCAAAGAGCTCCGTTGCGGCGGGGCAACCCACTGCCGGAGCTACTCCTCGGCAGGATGTGGACATGGCGGAAGTGACGGCGATTCCGTGTACCAGCGAACACCGTAACCTGGCGCAGCAGCTCGTGGAACGGGTTGAGGCGTTTAGGCCACGGGAAGCTTCGGCTATCGCCATGGCCAAGGAGATGTTAGCTCCTCCTCCTCATGAGGCGGTTGTCTTTCAGATCACGGCCAGCGCCGGCAGAGACTGGCAACCATCCGCGTATGTGGAAGCCGGAGTGCCGCGCGGTAGGGTCTGCCCGGAGCCCGGGCAGGACCCCAACCTCAAAAATGTTCAGTGGGGCGACGATGGGTGCTCAGCGTTGATTAACGTGGTTGGTGACCAACCGCTTGTTGTAACCAACGCACACGTCGAGGACGTGATGTTCTTGTCGAGGGCACTTGCAGGGGGGCGATTCTCTGCGCGCGAGTTCTTGCAGCTCCTTCTGGAGCTCAGGACCTTCGTGCTCACCAGGACACACCCCGACGTTATGGGCATCCTGGGGCGGAGCAGTGCGATCGCGGCCTTGAGCGACCATGCGTTGTTCCAGGCCCGCGCCCCGCTTCACCAGGAAGGCCTGGAGAATATCCACGCTTGGCTCAGTGAAGCTGGCGCGGATCCGTCGGTTAGGCCACAGGTCAGTCCTAAAGAGCTCTACGAATGTATAGAAAAGAAACCGGACGGCGAGGACGTCGGCGAGTTAGTGTCGGACTTCTGAGAGCCTGCACCCGCCGACAACTTGCTTGTCCACGACAAGGAACAGGGCTGCACTCCGAGCGGGGAGGTTTGGTTCGAGCCGGTGCCGGGATTCACAGATGACCGGTCGCCGGGGATCAACGGCCCACCTGCTCGTGACCTCGTCTTCAAGGCCTACCATGATGGAGGCGCGGAGAGCGAGGCCGAGCGTGCGGAGAGCAAAGCTGTGTTGGCGGCCTACGTGACGAGAACGGCCCTTGCTAAGGCTGCACATCGTCTGGGAGTGCCTAAGGAGGTCAATATCGCGACCGTCGCGGACGTTCCAGCGGAGGGGCAGCCCACCGCGTCCGTGGATTCTGGTCTGATCGGCTTCCGCGACACACCTGCTGCTACGCGGGCGAGTCTCGAGGACGAGGGCTGCGGGGGCGACTTTCTGCGAAAGCGGATTGCCGAACCCAGCGATGATGGCGCCGTGCCATCCGGGTCAGTATCCGCTACTGCCGGGAGCGAGGCCGTAAAACGCAATAGTGGCCAAGGAGCTGCTGCGTTAGGAGGGTTGGCGCCCTCCGCGGCCAATGCGCCGAGTGGTAGCGAGGAACGCTCGCCAGCCGGCATGCCCGGCCAGGCCTCCAGCCAGGGGGCAAGCGGCTCGAGTCCTTCGGGGCGGACCCACGCGGGGGCAGGCCCAAGACGTGGATCGCCAGTGCGGCAAGCTCAATCGGGGAAAGAGTGGGCCCACTTCGTGAGAGACTGGGTCCGAGCCAGTGAGCTTGGCCCGGCTACACGTGACGGCACCCAGGCTGTTTACGACGACAAGGCAGAAGAGCCTGATGCCGTGCCAAAGGAAGGCGAACTGATTGCGGGAGGGCAACCTCCTGCAGCAGTTCAGTTCACGACTGAAACCCAAGGCTTGTCGGACGACACTGCTCAGCGTGGGCTCAAGGCCTTCAAGAGTATGCAAGACTCGGGGCAGGAGTCCTTCGAGTGTTCTCACTGCAAGCAGAAGCCGGACGTATCCGTAGGCGACTACCAGTCCAAGAACTTGGTGTGCTGGTACTGCGGGGTCCTCCTCTCTACCCCAGAGCCTCATGTCGGCGAGCGCCTCGCCGCAGCGTGTCCTCGATGCGAGAGATCGAGGGCGTCAGCGACTGGCTGGAAGCAGGCGCAGCCGAGGCGAAGCGAGTTGCCCTCCGCGGCACCCGCTCGAATTGGGGAGAAGAGGAGAACAAGCTGGTGAGTCTTGTGAAGAAGCTCAAGAAGAATAAAATGTACAGGTCGATGGTAGATCGGTACGACAACGATCCCGACTGGCCACGCAACTGTTCCAACAGCTTCTATGGCGACGGTGCCACGCCGCGCGACCGACAGTGGAACATATATGTGGACACGTGGGACGCTCGTGCGATCGATCCCCAGCTACCTGGCGGTCCAGGCTCGTTGCACTCTGACCCGATGCCCATGTCCAAGCTTGGCCGTGTCCAGCATGGACACGTGAGCATGCTGGAAACTGCAGAGTCACGTGCCCGTCGGGCGGCATCTGCGCCTGCTGGTGCGGTGCCACCGCGGAAGCCTGCGCTTGTGTCTCTTAGGCACTCGGTGGGCTCCTGGACCAAGCCTGCCAGGGCTGCCGCTGCTGCAGCCGTGGCGCCAGCCGCTGCGGCCGACATGGCGGTAGGAGCTGAGGGGCAACCCTCAGCCAGGGCTCCGTCTAGCTCGTGGCAGCCGTCGGGCAACCGATGGCAGTCGTGGGGCGAGTCCTGGCGTGATCAGGATCAGAGCTGGTGCGATGGCGAGCGTGCCGCATCCTCGCAGCATGCGATGCCGTCCTGGGCTACACCCATTGGGAATACGCCCTATGTGAACCAGATGAAGCGATCCAGAGCGGCATCTCGGCCGCTCGACTCTCAGTCTCCACATCAGTGGGGGAACTGGGGGCGCTGGAGCTGGAATCGCGAACCGTGGGTCCAACAGGACTCGGCCTCTGGGCCTCGCGAGCCCTGGGTCCAGCAACCAGACGAAGCCGGTGAGCCCGCTCCGGTTGGCTTACAGCCTAGCGCGGCTCTGGCTGATCAGGATACCGTAGAGCACCGCCGCGAGGAGTGGGCTCCGGTTGGCCCTCCTAAGGCTGCGGGGCCGCCGCGGACGGCGAGCGTCCCCGAGGCATACAGAGGAGCTCGCCACCCCGACTGGAGGAGGCTGCAGCTGCGTGAGCACGAGACGCGGCCTGCAACCTCGTCGCCCGAGAGGACGAGCAGGAACAGAGGTGCGCCTGATGGGCGCATGGGTCCGGGTCGTTAGCTGGAGGGCGACCTCCAGCGAAACCGATTCCGATTTCCCCTCCTTTGTTCATCCTTTTCGTCTCTTCCTCTTTTCTCTTCCCTTGGTCTCCCCCTCATTTATTTCTGCTCGCTGCTCCCCCCCCTTTCGGCGGCCGCCGCCCCTGCTCCGCCGGAAGGGGCAGGGGTGGCGCGCCATGGCGGCGGACAGCGACTTCGGGGCCCCGGGGAAGGTGGACGTTACTGTCTACCGCACGTGCTCCCAGCTCACGCTGCAGGCGTTGAGCGAGGTCGAGCGCGGCAGGTGGGTCGGAGGCTGAGTGCCGCCCGCCGCTTCGGGCGTTCCCCTCTCCTTCTCCACCCGTCCTCGAGTTTTTGAAAATCTGCCGCGCTCGTTTGATTTGTCCTTTTCGGTCCTGGGGTCCTTCTGCTTTGGGTTGGTGGGGGGGTTCTTTTGGGTCCGGAGGGTCCACAATCTTTTCTGTGGTGATTGCGGGCTGTTTGCCTGGAGTCACCCGGTGGGTGTGTTTTGGCCACCTGTTTTTGCGGCCTTGGATTTTCCTTCTGCTCCGGAGGTGTCCCCTTGGACCCTCCGGGGCCCCCGTCCCCTGGGGGGTGCGTGGGTGGTGGCCTCGGTGTCTCGGGTCCTCCTCTCCCCCCTCCTCTTCCCCGCCTCCGACGTCGACGACGGCGACGGCAGCGACCGCGGGGGTAGGGGCGGAGTTCGCAGCCTTCTACAGGCAGCGAGCTGGCGAAAAAGGGAGCCCCGCGCGCGCCCGAACGGGCGCTTCCTGCTCCACTCCTAGTACCCATTCTCAAGTGTTGTTTTATAGGCAACGGACCTAGGAAGCGGGGCCGCAACCCCGCAAACCTGCGGCCAGTTTCAACGCTGAGTCGCAGGGGCTTAACCCCTGTTGGGGGTGTTCGGCCGAACGGCTGTTCTTCTCCCAACGCTAGAAAGGCCCGCCACATCGTTATGGGGCGTACGCTGTTTGGCAGACCCCCCCCCATCTCGCAGGTTCGCGACCCACAGGGCGGGATGGAAACCAATCCCGACCGAATGCGGCAGATCCTCTGGGAGAGCAGGAAGAGTCTATGGTCGTCATCCCCGCCACTACCAGAACAGACTGCGCGGGCCCGCTCTTGGTACGTTTGAGGCGCCGCTACCGACATGGAGGGACGTACTCCGCTGCGTGTTAGGCCCAGCGAGGTCTGCCCCTGGAATAGATGACCTCCCCTGCGAAATCCTCCACCCAGCGGCGCGGTGCACGGCTGCCTTGCTGGGGCAGGCCTTCCACGCAGCTGCAGATGGGGATGTTGAGCGGGTGGAGAGAGCGTTGGGACCTGCGACGGACCTCCTGGTGTGGATCGTCAAGTATGCGGGTGCAGTCACCCCGTCAGGAATGAGACCGCTACAGCTACCGACGACGACCAGACGATTCTTTGGTGCGGTCTTGGCGGCCAAGCTGGGCCCACATATTGAGGCCCAGCTCACCAAGCAGCAGGCAGCCAATGCGGGAGGGACGTGTGGACTCAACGTCCGGGACGCCTACGCTCACCTGGATAGCCAGCCCACGGAACCACCCCTTCCAGACCAGCTATGGAAGGACCTGATGGGGTCACTCGCGGACGACATCGACGAGACCATCCATGCGCACCTCAGTCAACTCACTGATGAGGAGATCGCCTTTCTGGCACGTGGACCTGCGGCGGTCCTCATGAGTGACCAGAACAAAGCCTTTGAAAGGCTAGGCATGGATTGGCTAGATGAGGTACTTACAAGGTGGCACCTACCAACGTGGGCACTCACTTCCTTCCGGGCACTCATAGCCAATCGGCTCATTGACATCGGGGCCAACAGGGGTCAAAGGGGCAAAGGCTTCTTGGGAAGACTGCGTAGACCGGTGGGAATGGGTGGCACGGCATCCCCCCTTTTGTGGAACATGGCCTATGATCCCATTGTTGCTTGCCCGGCGGATGCCCTCAACCTTTGGGGCCCGGTGTATGTGGACGACTTGGCAGCACTTGTACGTGGCGCAGCACAGACGCTACGCGCCTGTTACTACATGGTGTACGCCAGCTCCATGGCGAGGCTGCAAGTCTCGGCTCACGAGTGTGTGCAATTGAGGGTCAACGATCCAGACCCCAAGCTGAGGGCGCTACTGGCCAGATTACCGGTGAAGGTACGTTACGATTCCTGGGGACGATGGGCTTTGATTACAAGGCTTCCTCCTTCCTTCCTCTGGGTACATATATCAAACAGACTGGGTGTGGAGTGGAGACCCAAAGTGTCCCTGCAGACTGGCACCTGTCGCTGCGATCTCAAGGCTGCGTTAGTGCCAGCACAGAACAACGCGCTCTGGGCCAGACTGATGTGTGCTTCCCCATTTGGACCGCTGGCCGTGAGAAAGAAATGGCCCTATCTAGGGATCGCGGTGATACCCAGGCGATGGCGCCTCCACTCTCAGGGGGCCCCCTCTTCCACTCGGCAGTCCCGCTGGCGGTCTGGAGACGTACTTCACCCCGACACCCCACCAATCGGACATGGTTGCGGATGCTGTTTGGGCACCGCATCTGCTGCACGCCCTCATGAAGGAGGTCTGGGCAAAGGCGGAGGGCAAGACGGTGGCCCGGGCAGGACAGCTAGGCGCGGATCATTCCTCCGTCAGCCGCCGTGCGGCAGCTTGGAACACACATATATATATATATATATATATATATATATCCTCCCTCTGGCCGTACGCCTCACATGCAGTCCCACCAACGGAGAGCACCCTCAACGAGCTCATCAGGATGCAGAAGGTCGCCCTCGAGCTAGGAGACCTACCGTGGATACCGCTATACGTCGTTACGGGCCTTGGCATAGTCTTCGGGGTACCCTCCACGCCCACAGGGTCTGCAGCAGCAATACGATCCACTGCCGCACTGGCTTGCCTTCACAACGATCTGTGGTGTCCAGAGCCGGCGCGCAAGGATATTGTTGACATGACCAACCAATTGGTAGGGTGGGCCCATGGCACCCCTCCAATCATACTGGGCACATGGTAAACGGCGAGGCAAAGCTATGGGAGTGGACAAAGCAAAAGACGTCATCAACAGTTGGGCCACGGGCCACCAAAGGCGAATACCCAGGAAGGACGTGCTGGGACGAGCCCTATATGTGGCGGCTTGGATCAAAGAGCACGCGGGGGAAATGGACAAGTGGCTGAGGGAGAAGTCCTCAAGCCGACACTGGGCACCGATGGCGGGACAAGAATGGGCCCTCCTGAAACACTGCAGGTCTCTTACCGCGGCCTGGCAGGTGCTGCGCTTCCTGTGCAATGGCATCCCGGGGGGGGCCAGATGGAGAGCCGCGGCGGACAGAACTGACAGACTCTGTACATGTGGCGCTGCGGCTGTCTACTGCTGGTCGTCCTCGGCAAGGGCGAGCGACGGCACTATCGTGGACGCTCAGGGGTGGTGCGAACCGTGCATGGGGAGGTGGAGCAACGGCCAGAGATGGGCCCTTCTGCAGGAGGAGCAGATACCATTATGCTTGCGAGAAAAACGTTCTGCCCTGCTACGTGAGAGAGGACCAGGACCGGCCGCCCTGGGCGCCGACACACATGTCAAATATCCTTTTTGTGGTGCGGGCGAGCATGGGGCGGAGCACCTATGGGACTGGTGCTCGGTGGTGGAGGCGGTATGGTGGTCGTGCCACGCGGGACAGTGTACTTTCCACGGTGCTATACGCATGATTGGACAGGACGAGGAGCGATACGGTCTGCTACACATTGTCATTCATCAGATTACCTTTCTGGCGGGCACGCTTGCTGGAAGAACGGTACTGCGACCTCAGGAGGCATACGAACGGCTCAAAGGAATGGTGAAGCGGCACTGTGCTCACGATTTAGAGGGGCATGATAGGGTCCACGAATTCGGCGGACCGCACGATGGTGCAGAGGACGTCCTGGGGAACTTGAATGCGATGCCCCAGACGGATCAGGAACTCTGGGCGCCATGCGCCTGCTCAACATGCAGACACTGCAAGGACGCGGCGCCTCTGGGGGACAACAATCATTTCGTCACAGACGCCTGCGCTGAGGGGGGAACTTACTCGAGGAGGGGGCAGAATGCGCAGGCATGCCTGCTGCAGACGTGGCGTCGAGTCTGGGGAACTACTTGGGAGATTGACGGCCGGGATACATGTGGCGGGGTGGATGCTGCCTGGGCGTGGCTGGTTTCCCCCACCGAGGGTAGTGCACCCTGCCCTGGCTACGGCTTGCTGGGACACGACGAGGTGCGACTGGTGCGGAGACTTCCGAGCCTCTTTGCGGATGCTAAGGCAGCGCCCCAGCGGTGCTGATATCACGGTGCCAGCGACACTATGCCGCTCGCTGCAGGAAACCTGCTGGCCATGGGAGATCACCTTCGACGCGGGGGGGAAATCGACAAATGATTACGATACTGCGGGCGCTGGGGCCGCACTGTGGCACATGCGTTCCAAGGGGGCCCCGATTTGCATTGCGCGGGCGTATATAGCTCTTCCGCCAGGCACCTCGGCACAGGTGGCGGAGGCACAGGGCTGCAGGATTGGGGTAGGGATGCTGCTGAAGGGAGTCAAGGAGAGACGGGCCAGGGTGGTCGGGGATACCTTAGGCGCCATTCGCTACGGGGCGACGACACAGCGTTTTCGGGCACTCCGCATGCAAGGCCTCGTGGAAAATACGGTCTCGCAGATTGCCAGGGCTGGAGGCAGGCGGTCCGCAGAAGGCTTAATACGGCGGCCGACGAGCTAGCTACGGCTGCGCGTGAATGGTCGCGGACTCGACAAGAGATGTCGCTCCCCCTGCCCAGCGAGTACATTGAATGGCGCAATGACGACGGCCCCCCCCCCTTCCCCACCCCCCCTTGGCCCGCGGCTGATTGACCGAAGCATCGGGCTCGAGGGAATGGCGGCCTCCCTACTCCTCCTGGGGGACTCCAACCTCTCGCATGGCTCGGGCAGCTCACGGCACTGTGGCTGCATGCCACATTTTGCGCAGCGCGTCCACGGCTCGGTGGCAGAACAGGTCTGTGATTCGGGGGATAAGGTGGCTTTCTTCTTCCCGTTACAGCAGCTACGCCTGGGGCGCAGGGAAGAACTTGCCCTCCAAACTCCGATTGCTTCGGTCCCGCGCCCGACATGGGCACTCGTACATGCAGGGCGGAATGACGCGGATTATTGGAGCAGGCGCAGCTTGAGAGTGGAATAACTGAAGGACATCTTCCTCTGCCACCTACAAGAAGCGATCCCGCATCTGGAACGCCAGCTTCACTCAGCCGGGGCGCAGAGGCTCCTATGGGCTCTACCCTGCGACGACCCACGAGGCGGCTTCACCAGGGAATACGCACTCTGCGTAGAAATATTACACCACTACCTGCAGGGGAGACCCCATCTAGTATATACGACACTTGCGGGCGAGTATGAAGAGGATCAGTATCATCTCAATCGCAGGGGCAGGGGGCGATATGGGCATGCCCTGAGTGTCACCCTGGTGATGAGTCCACATGGGCAGCAGCGGAGAATGGACCTGGACGCGTGGGGACAGGACTTTCAGGCTGTGGAGGCAGGGGGCACTGCCTGGGTAGAGGAATCGCACGCTTGGTACGGGAATGGATGACCAGGGGAGAGGCATGGTTCATACGCATGAGCAGGCTTTGGGAAAGGCGATGGTCAGGTGCGGCCAGGGCCGTCTGGCTCAAACAGATGTGGCTGGCACTTGACTTGCGCTCCGGCCGGGCGCTCCCCGAGCACCCTTTCCCCGGGGCGTTGCGGCAGGCAGCCAGACATCGGCTAACCTCTGTTTTAGCTTTCGCCAATCAGGGACACACTGTGACGGAGACCTTCTCGGGGACAGACGACGGAAAGAGAGTGTCACCGGCCCGCAGAATCCTTGCTACTTACTCTTGCCTCACGGCGGCAGACGTGCAGGGATCGGGAGCCACCTACAGAGTGGTCTACACGGATGTGACGGCAAGAGCGCAGTGGTTGCACATACGACGAAGCTCCAGAGCGGGGGCGTGGATCCCTGCCGCTATGGAGTTCACCGTGTAACCATCGGAGCTCTGAAAGCATCAGCTGGATCCTGCATGATGCGGGCGGGAGGCTTGACACTGCACTGTGGCCGTACAAGGGGCGAGGGGAATTCGGAGAAGGCGCAGCCTGGCTTATCACAGACGCTGGCGTCCAGCAGCACTGCCTCCCTGGAATTCCAGGCCTTCCAAGAAATGAGTTCCATATGATATGTTTCTCTGCGCACGTCGATGCCGAGGGATCGGCTGGGCGCTTCGCTTCGATGCTCATCCTGCACCCGCTCGCTTGGAGAAACCAGGAGGCCTGGGTCGTTCTCCCGGGAAAAGTATTACTGGTGCTGCTCTCCGGCGCTACGGCGACCTTGGCTCTTCTTGCGGTGGACTACGCGACGGCTGGTTCTGACTACCTTCGGCGGGCGGTAACGGGCCTCCACGTGCGGCGGGCCTTGGATCGCATACAGGAAGCACTCCAAGATCCCGGTTTTCCTTTGGATTTCCTAGGGAAGCAACCCAAGATCCCGGTTTCCTTTTGGATCTCCTATGGAGGCAATCCAAGGTTCTTGTTTTCCTTTGGATTTCCTATGGAAGCAGCCCAAGATCCCGGTTTCCCTTTGGAGTTCCTGGAATTCTTAAGGAAGCAATCCAATATCCCGGGTTGCCTTTGGATTTGTCATGAAACCAATCCAAGATCCCGGTTTTCATTTTGATCTCCTATGGGATCAGTCCAAGATCCCGGTATTCATTTGGATATCCTAAGGAAAAATTGCAAGATCCCGGTTTTCCTTTGGATTCTTATGGATGCAATCAGAGATCCCGGTTTTCTTTTGGATTTCCTATGGAAGCAGCCCAAGATACCGTTTTTTTTTTTTTTTTTTTTTTTTTTTTTTTTTTTTTTTTTTTTTTTTTTTTTTTTTTTTTTTTTTTTTTTTTTTTTTTTTTTTTTTTTTGTTGTTGTTTTTTTATGAAACCAATCCAAGATCCCGGTTTTCTTTTGGATTTCCTATGGGGCCAGTCCAAGATGCCGGTTTTCCTTTGGATTTCCTAAGGAAGCACTCCAAGATCCCGGTTTTCCTTTTGATTTCTTATTGAACCAATCCAAGATCACCTTTTCCTTTCGTTTTATGAAACCAATCCAAGATCCCGGTTTTCATTCGGGTTTCCTATAGAAGCACCCCAAGATCCCAGTTTTCCTTTGGATTTCCTATGGGAGCACCCCAAGATCCCGGTTTTCCTTTGGATTTCCCAGGGAAGCAACCCAATATCCCGGTTTTCCTTTCGATTTCCTATGGAACCAATCCAAGATGCCGGTTTTCCTTTGGATTTCCTACGGAACCAATCCAAGATTCCGGTTTTCTTTTTGATTTCTTATGGGAGCACTCCAAGATCCCGTTTTTTTTTTTTTTGGTTTCCTATGGGACCAGTCTAAGATCAAGGTTTTGCTTTGAATTGCTTATGGAAGCAGCCCAAGATCCCGGTTTTCCTTTGTATTTCCTATGGAAGCAGCCCAAAATCCCGGTTTTCCTGTGGATTCCTATTGAAGCCGCCCAAGATCCCGGTTTTCCTTTGGATTTCCTATGGAAGCACTCCCAGATCCCGTTTTTCCTTTGGATTTCCTATGGAAGCACGCCAAGATCCCGGTTTTCCTTTGGATTTGTCATGGAAGCACTCCAAGATCCCGGTTTTCATTTGGATTTCCTGTTGGACCAGTCCAAGATCCCGGTTTTCATTTGGATATCCTAAGGAACCATTCCAAGATCCCGGTTTTCATTTGGATTTCCTAAGGAACCGACCCAAAATCCCGGTTTTCTTCTGGATCTCCTATGGAAGCACTCCAAGATCCCGGTTTTCCTTTGGATTTCGTATGGAAGCAACCCAAAATCCCGGTTTCTCTTCCGTCTGACGTGCTGCTGTGGGTGCCCTGGTGGCGCGCGGTCCAGGAGCGCGAAAAGAAGATGAACTTTTGTCACTCTTCTGTCCTGCCTGCCGCTGGGTGTTCCGGTGGCGGGCCGCGGTCCAGGAGCGCGAAATGATATTCAGTTTTTGTTTTTTTATTTTGTTTTGCATGTTGCTGTGGGTGCTCCTGTGACCACGTGGTCTAGAAACGCGGAATTCACATAACTTGCGTTTTTAACGAGTCTGGTGTAGATTGCGGGGCATCGCGGCCTCGGGGTCGCGAATCTGGTCTGGCGAAATGTCGATGGACTGTGGCGTCGGGAGCTCGAATCTGGCGTAATTTGCGAGGGATCGTGGGGTGGGGAGCGCGAGTCTGGCGTAATTTGCAAGGGATCGTGGCCGCGGGAGCGCGTGCCTGGTATAATTGAAGGGGGAGGGCGGCCTCGGGAGCGCGAACCCGACATGATTTACGATTGACTGTGGCCTCGGGAGCGCGAGTCTGGCCTAATTCACGATAGGTTGCGGCCTAGGGGCCTCGCGCGCTCAGCAACAAGTCACAATTAGAAACTGGAGTGGCTGCGGCAAAGCTTGGCCCTCGCAGCTTGGTGGCCCCACAAGGGGGCCGGCAGGTTCCCCCCCCTTGGGCGCGGACCGTGCCTTGTGTGGATGTTTTGATTGTCTCCCCGGCAGCCCTTGGAGGCTGGAGGCCTCCTCATGTTTTTTTTTTTTTCTCCAGTTCCGGCACGGTCACTCTGGCCCGGCAGCACACGCGCGAGAGCCACGCAGACATGTCGGAGCAGGAATTCGCGGTGAGGGTGAACGACCAGTTGAAGTCCACGGAGCTGAGGCTGTGCGGCGCGCTCGGCAGGGACAAGAGGCATGGTGCTCACATGCGGGCTTTCTGGGCCTCGACAGTATCGTTCTTCGTGGCGTTCGTGGGTTGGTTCGCCCTGAGCCCGATCGCTATCGAGGTGGTCCACAGCATCGACGCTTGCGAAAACCAGCTCTTCCCACCGGTTGCGAACCCAGAGAGGAAAGCATTCTTGAAGTTCAAGGCGATCGCGTCGGGGAAGAAGTATTGCCAGTATGGGAAGATCGGAGAGGATAACAACCCGACTGGGTGCCAGGATGTGCCGCAGGACGTTTGGGACGAGAGTTGTGGCGGGGTGGCGGCCACCGCGTGCACGCAGAGCGAGACGCTCACGGACGACGTCGATCTGTGCCCCGAGGCGTGCATGAAATATCCAGTTGCCTGCGGCGAGTCCCGCCACCGTGCCAGCCCAGCATTTTCGGTTGCAGCTGTTCGAATCGATGATGATGATGATGATGATGATGATGATGATGATGATGATGATGATGATGATGATGATGATGATGATGATAATGACGACGACGACGAACCGGATGACGATGGTGATGATGAGCATGATTATTACCATGAGAGGCTGAGGAGGATGATGGGGAGGCGGAGGAGGAGGAGGAGAAGGAGGAGGAGGATTGTGGGGCCTTTCTTTTTTCTCCTGGGCTGGGTCCTGGGGCCGCTGTTGTAGAGCGGAGCGCAGCCATGGCCGTCGCCCCGGCTCTCCGCGCCCCTCCTAGCCCGGCGCGCGTGCACTGACGATGTATATCGAGAAACGTAGAAACGTAGGAGGATTGTGGCGGACGCGGGGGACGAAAAAACATGATGACGATGGTGATGACGATGATGATGCTGATGATGGTGATGTTGATGCTGATGATGACGACGATGATGATGATGCTGATGCTTATGCTGGTGATGATGACGACGATTACGATGCCGATGACGATGACGATGCTGATGGTGACGACGACGACTACGACGACGACGACGATGATGATGATGATGATGAGGATGATGATGATGATGATGATGATGATGATGAGGATGAGGATGATGACGATGGCTACGATGACGATGACGATGACGAGGACGATGGTGCTGATGATGATGATGATGATGATGATGATGATGATGATGATGATGATGATGGTGATGGTTATGGTGATGGTGGTGGTGGTGACCATGGTCATGAGGAGGACAATGACGAGGACGGTGGTGATGATGAGGAGGAGGAGGACGACGACGACGACGAAGAGGAAAGCCGTCACATGTGACACCTTTCGTCTTCGTTCCTGCAGGGCCCACATGGACCTCGTTTGGTCGTCTTTGGGCTGTCCTGAGCTCCTGAGGGGCAGTCTTGGGGGAACCTTGCGGCCCTCTTGGGCCGTCTTGAGGCCCGCCCTCTTGGGCCGTATTCGGCCGTCCAGGGGGTCCTCTCAGGCCGGCTTGGGTCCCTCCGGAAGCACTTCAGGGCCAGCTTGAGGCCCTCTTGGGTCCGTCCTGGGCTCTCCAGGGGCCCTCTTGGGCTGTCTTAAGGCCGTCTTGGAGGCCTCTTGGGCTACCTTGAGGCCCTCTTGGGCCGTCGTGGGGCCAACTTAGAGAGCTCTTGGGTCGTCTTGAGCCGACGGAAGCGCAAAGGCAAGAATGCGAACATCGTGCAACAACTTATTATATTCGACGTGGAGATCCCCATATGTACACCTCTTTGTCTCGCGATGTCCGACGGTGTCCGACCATCTTGGGCCATCTTGGGGCTATCTTGGACCATTTTGGAGGCATCTTGGGCCATCTTGGCGGCCCTGGTGGCCTGCCAGGTCCGTCTGGGAAGCCATCTTGGGCATCTTGGACGCCATGAAGAGCGCCAAGGAGGCGTCATGGCCGCCCAGAGAGCCTCGGGAGAGGGGGCGATGCATGCAATTGGGCGCGTCGAGCGGGGGGGGGGCCTTAGAAGATTACAGAAACCCTGCCAGACAGCACTTGGCATTCTAGCACGTCTCGACGTGTCAGGGGGCACGGTGGCGGATAATTTCGAAGTCCTCCCTAAGTGCGTTTGCAGCCCGGGCACGCACTGCGGTTCGACGATCCTGTATTCAAGCATCACCTCGGTCGGCATCACGATCTTTGTGCGCGTGGCGCTCGGCACCCTCCTCGAGAGGTTCGGCCCGGTCAATGTGCAGTCTGGCCTCCTGCTCTTCGGAGCCATGTGGGTCTTCGCCGCGGCGGGCATCTCGGCAGAGTGGAACTTCATCCTCATTCAAGGGGCTTACGCCATTCCACCGACCCGCAGAAGAGGAAAGAAATACACGGGTGAGGCTTTGTTGAGCTCTTGGGGGCCGTTTGCGGGACTCTGAGGGCCTTATGTGGGTCTTTTAGAAGCATCCTGAGGCATCTCGGGGAATGGCGGGAAGCGCCTCCTGCGTGGACGTTTTTCTGAAGTAGCAATTTGCTCTCACAAAGCAGCCCAAGTATCATTTGGGGGTTGGGTGGGCGACTGCATGAGCACCGTTGCCTTTGTGGCTCGAGGCTGTGGAAACTACCCACCCTAACCCACGCTTGTATCATTTTCCAAGCCTGTCTTTGGCCTGACCGAAGTGCATTGGGTCCGGGTCGGGTTGCTCCCCAGCTTGGAGCCTGGTTGTTTCGCCTTCCCTGAGACCGGGGTGCGACTTGCTTGCCGGACTGTTCGGTACCGCACGTTTCCGGCCCAGCCCAATCGGCAACACAAGAGTTGTATACCTCGGCATTGGGACCAATTTGGAGAGCGGCCCGAAAAATGACACGGCCGAAAATAACGGTTTTACTGCGGACGTCCTCACCAAACGAGAAGTTATCAGCATCGATTGTTGCAAAAACGACATTTTCGCTTGATACATCCTCCCCAAATGCGGGTGCTGGGGGATCTGCCATACGACGACGTTCCTACAAATGAAATGACGAAATAGCTTGCAAATATTTCGTTTCTTCGAAAATGAGGCTCTTGCTGCAGACACCCAGAAAACATGCAGCCTCGGATTCGGTGTTTTTCGATACCAATCACTTAAAGATGCACCTCGTGCTGGTCTGCCGTGCTCCCGTGGTCTGCCGCGCTGGTTTGCCGTATTCTGTGGTCCGCCGTGCTGGTTTGTAGTGCTGCCGTGGTCTGCCGTGCTCCTGTGGTCTGCCGTGCTAGTTTGCCGTGCTCTTGTGGTCCGCCGCGTTCGTCTGTAGAGGTGCTGTGGTCTGCCGTGCCCCTGTGGTCCGCCGTGCTGGTCTGCCGTGCTCCTCTGGTCTGCCGTGCCGGTCTGCCGTGCTCTTGTGGATTGCCGTTTTGGTTTGCCGTGCTCTTGTGGTCCGCCATGCTTGTCTGCCGTGCTCCTGTGGTCTGCTATGCTCCTTCTCGTTCTGCCGTTCTGGTCAGCCGTGCTCCTGTGGTCTGCCGTGCTGGCCTGCCGCGCTGCTGTGGTCCGCCGTGCTCGTCTGCCGCATTGCTGCGTTGTTGGTCTACGTTTCTAAGTTTCTTTGACATTGTCAACATAACTTTTTCTGACAGGCTTCGTTGACAAATCGGCGCTTCCCGTTCTTGTCCGGTCAGGTTTCTCGAAATGAGCATTTCGTTTGAGACATTCTCACACGAATTAGATGTTCGCAACAGCGTCTTTTATTAAAAACATGCTCTTCGCTTGAAACATCCTCCAAAACATGAAAGTCATGAATTTGACGAACCTTCGAAACTGAGCGTTTCGCCTGAGACATCCTCGAACAAATCGAACAATCTTTTGGGGGAGAACCAAAACCAACATCCTAGGATCCAGCACGCCAGGCGCCCCTGTGATAAATCAACAAGGGGCGGCGGATGTACTGGCCTTCGGCCCATCCCGCCACCGTGCCTGGGTGGTGGGTCAGAGGCCTCTTGAATGTTCGTTGGGATATCGTGGTGGGCCTCTCGGGGGCCTCTTGGAGCAAGTTGCGAAGCCTCTTGGGGGCAGTGTTGGGGCCTCTTGGGGCCTCCTGGGGCCTCCTGGGGCCCTCTCGGGGCGGAAGGTTAGAATTTTCGAATCGTGGTCCCCGTCTTGGGCCTTTCTTGTGTGAAGATGAACAGGTTGTGGGCCCAGCTCGAAACGCAGTAGATCAAGCAGTTTGGATATTTTTCATTCACGAGGTGTTCGAGGATTTTAAACACAAAATAACATAACAAGATATGTGCCGCTGCCGGTCGTGTTCTTATCATATCAGGGGATCCCCTTTTGAGCTATCAGCATATAACAAGTACTGGGGCTTCCCTGATTTCAGATTGCTGCGTGTGATCGGTCGCGTGGCGACCGCTTTCATAACGGTCGACATCGCGGAGCTTGCAGCGATGAAAGACATCGTGTACCCGTTATCATTGACACTGGTAGTGCGGAGCAATGTGCGAGAGGACGGCCGTTATGCAGAACGCGCTATGTTATTGGCTTGTTATTGCCGCTACATATTCTATAAAGACCTGTTTCTCGCGATCAGGCATTACATATCCCATCGAGAACCAGTTCTCGCGCCACTGCGAGTTCAGCAGCACCGACGACGACGACCCTTTTCGCATCAAGATGTCAATCACCAGAGAGAAAAAAGGGGCAACGAACGTTTGGTTGGATAAGGACGGCGCCCCATGCTACGGCGGAGATGCAGCAGCAGAGGAATGGGAATATATAAAAATATAGAGAGAGAGAGGAGAGAGAGAGAGAGAGAGAGAGAGAGAGAGAGAGAGAGAGAGAGAGAGAGAGAGAGAGAGAGAGAGAGAGAGAGAGAGAGAGAGAGAGAGAGAGAGAGAGAGAGAGAGAGAGAGAGAGAGAGAGAGAGAGAGAGAGAGAGAGAGAGAAATAGAGAGAGAGATAGAAATATATATATATATATATAGAGAGAGAGAGAGAGAGAGTTCGGCTGGGATTTCTTTGAATGGAAAACAGAGAGAATAAGAAAAGCTTCATTGCAAAAGTGAAAAACGGCCTGACGGACAAATCGTGGACACTGCGCCACAAAGACGAGAAAATCAGCGTGACAGCACTCGGCAAGCATTTCAAGAAAGGCAACGCTGACGCGGAACATGACGAGGCCATCGAGGCCGCACTGGGCGCGATACTCAAGACGGCACGGAGTCACTGCGAGAAGGTGGCCCCCCGACAGATGCACAATGACTTTGGATTTTTTCAGGCGCGGGCACCGCAGACCCAACGAGCCGATCAAAGATTTCATCCAGCGACGAGCTCAAGCATGCGAGAAGCTACGAGACCTGACCGGAGGAGGCGCGCAGGTTTCGGAGGACTTCAGGACCTTCTTCCAGCTCGACATGAGTGGCATCACCGAGACGCAGCGCATGGCGTTTCTGGGCCAGGCGCAGAACGAGTGCGACTAGGACGCCATTCGCGAGGTCCAGGAGATCCAGGTCGACAACTTGGACGCGCGAGGCGGACATCCGCGACGCGAAGGAGGACGCAAGTTCCGGTGGAACTCAGCCTTCGGAGCAATCCCGGAAGGCGACGAGGGCGACTACAGTGGAGACGAGGACGGCGACGCGGAGGATGGAGACGAGATGGACATCCTTTCAGCAGGAATGGAGGAGATCCAGACAGCCATGGCGGTGGTCGACGTCAACGACATGAGCGAGGAGGAGATTTCAACCTTCGCGGCAGAGGATCTGACGGTCGTGGGCGCGATTGCGGCAAGGGGCCGCGGCAAGGGCAAGGCAGGATTTTCAGGGCCCGACTGCGCCAAGCAGCGCCAGTTCATCATGGGCGGCAAGGCGAACAGAGGCTTCAAGCAGGGCAATACCTACATCGACTTTGACGGCAATATCAGCTGCGGCACGAAGGATCTTCAAGACCGACTTGGAGTTTTCCAGATGGCTAGCAAGTGCGGCGCGTGCGGCGAGAAGGGGCACTGGGCCGGAGATCCAGAGTGCAGCAAGACCATGGCCGGCCGGCACGGGCGGCGCCTTCGGCGTGGCCAGAGGACGCGGACAGGAAAAGGACGTGCCGGAGGTTTTCTGGCTCGCACTGGCCTGGCCGGAGCCATGCTAGCGACCAGAGTCGGCTTCCCGATGGAGAATTACATGATCAACCCGATCGAGGTGACCAACGACGTCAGCAGCGTGCCGAACACCATGATCGACGCGATGGTGGCTGTCCATGCGGCACCACCGGGCTACGTGGTACTGGACAAGGCAGCTCTGGCGCCATGTTCCGGAGATCGTGCGACCGACAACCACCTGGAGAAGTTCAACTAGGCCGACATGCAGATGCCAACCAAAAGCGTGTTCAAGGGAACCAACACGGCGGCGCCAGTGCAAGCAGAAAGCGCACAAGCAGTACCAAGCGGCATCCAAGGCAGGGGGGCTGCACGCTCATCTTCGAGAGGCTACCCGACTCGGACGCCCTGATGTTCATGAGCGTCGATCAGTTGGACTCCCTGGACACGGTCGTCAAGGTCATGGGCAACCAGGTAACATTCAAGAAGCTATCGGACCAGCCTGCGAAGATCACACGCTCGAGGAAGAACCACCTGATGATCAAAATCACGGACTTCCCCAGGGAGACACAATGAGCTGAATCACCGACCGTCAGCGCCAAGGCGCTCGATGTGTGGACTGCTGAAGAAGAAGCTCAGTTTCCTCAAGGCGACCGACCCATCCAGTCGGAGGCGGCCACGGACATCGGCATCATGGCGAAATCCTGGAAGAAGCAGGTAGTCGCGTGGATCGCAGAACAAGGGCGCGAGCAGCGGGCTACATGTAGTGTCTCGCGGACCGATGCTCATCGGCGACGCGTGCTCGGGACAGTCGTGAAGAATATTCACGGCGGAGAGTGCAACGTTGCGAAGATGGCAACGAGTGGCGGACTCAAGACGGGTCAATGCAAGGGCCCGCGCACCACCGGCGACAACCTGCCACTACCAAGCGTGCAAGCCGCAACCATGAGGGAGCTAGAGGAGGAGGACCCGTGCCTCACCATCGCCCCGTTCCGGCGCGACGGCCTCTCCCCCATCGACAACTTCTGCCCGCCGAAGGAGCGTCGGAGACGCCGGACAGAAGCATTTGCACATGTTCAATTTGCCGTTCAAGTGGTCAAGTTTTCGACTGGAGCAGAAATGACATGTGCAATTGGAGAACCTTCTATGCTCGCAGGAATGGACGATGATACTGCAGGCTCTACCTAAAGATATGCCGATATGGTTTCGTTGTGGCCAGCGTGCTCTTGGCCCACAAGACGACAACGGAGATTTGCTGCTCAATCCTACGAGGTTTGTTACCTCAGCAGTGGCATTGGCATATGCACTGGAGGTTCGATGCTCTCAAGATCATGGACATGGAGAGTTCAAGGTCGAGGCGGCATGTCAAGCGACTACGCAGTATGGACACCCGACCTGGCAGAGTGAATCTTGGAGGGCACGAAGCATCAGTACGGGTTGGAGAAGCTGTTTGGAGGTTCGACCATCCTCGGAGTTCCCATCGTTATTGACGCGTACCCCGCTACAGGCTTCACGTCAAGCTAAGGACTCATCACGGGCTCGAGCGCGGAGACCTACAACGACTGGCAGCAGGCACCAGCTATCATGAAGACAGCGACCAAGAAGCTGCATGTTCAGTTTTCTCATGCACTACGAGGCGAAGAGCTCCCGAGGCACATCCAGTACGGCGGAGGCTCACCAGCGGCGACTTCGGCAGCAAAGCTCTTCAAGCGCGAGCTATGCGACGCTCTGCAACGACCGCCATCACATCCGATCACCAACCGACCGAATTGGACCAAGTTCAATCCATGCCTTGGCATGGACATCGCCTACGTGCCTGTCCTTTGCGGAACCATGCACGCGCACTTGCTCATGCTAGACCAGTCTGCCGATTTCACCGCCATTTGCAGCCTTTCGTCTGGAGTTCGAGGCTATGTGCGAGGACCTTGGAATTCCATGCTTTCGATTGGCACCAGAAGAACGCCGGCTGCATGGAAATGTGGAGAGGAAGATCAGGTTCTTCAAGGAGATGGCTACAAAGGTGTTTCGCGAGCTCGAGGCGAGAGACGATGGGGGCAAATATTGCTGGATATCATATCGCCCAGACCATCAACTGACTCTCTAACAACAAGGGCTTCTCTCCAGCTCAACGGGCTCTTGGCGAAAATCCATCTACACCAGCGTCATTTGGAGATCTCAGCGCCGACCCGGTGATCGCAGGACAAGTATCACGCGAATCTCTCACGTGGCACCGACTACAATTACAGGGAACATGTGAGGTCGCAGTCCACCAGGCAGCCAACAGCTCAGCTCTACGACGAGCGGTGCTATCGAATACCCGACCTCAGCCTGGGCCTTGCGAGCGTGGCGAGTGGGCCCACTATTGGCGAACAGGTGGAGGCAAGCGAGATCTGCATCGGAAATGGCATGGGCCAGCTCGAGTTATTGGATGTGATCAGTGTGGCTACTGGCTGACTCACAACGGGATACCAGTCCTAGCAGGGCCGAACATCCTACGGAGATCTACGCTCAACGAGTTCGAGGACCGCATGCCCGTCTGTGAACGAGTGTGCTCGTATAGCATGTTTGCGCCACTCGCGGCCATTTCGGCTCTAGGGCGCCCTTGAAGCCACTGGCTTGATTGCGACTGCCCTCGCCTTTAGAGGAAAAGTCAATCATAATCACACTGGCAGCGGAGCTGCAACACGTTCCACACGAGCGTACCCTGCGCGGATCGCCCTTGCTAGGGGATCATTGCTCCTTCTTCTTTCTTTCTTGTGAGCAGTTACTCTCTGCGAGAGGACTGACTCGTCGGCGCCGTGGCTCTTTCTTCTCTTCGTTATCGTCCGGGTGATGCAGCAGCGCTGACACGATTGGAGACGAAGAGTGGCTCCTACATCTACGATGGCTCGGTGAACAGCTTCCATGAGTGGGAATTCCGTACGAGTATTCGCATGAGTGCCGCCACTTCCATGTTGGATGAGGAAGGCAGCCCACTGAAGCAGCATGTCACCAACGCGTCAACAAAGTTGTAGAAGGTCTTCGAGGTGATGCTCTTGATATGGCCATGGATATCGGACAAGAGACATTTCTTTCGAGTAAAGGTATCGATTTGTTGGTCCAAACGATTCGCTCATCTCTCTTCCCTATTGAGGCTCAAGAGGCGAAAATCCCGTTCCAGGTTGGACAGACCGCGCGGGCCGATGTCGCGACAGAATGGCGAGTCGATGGTCGGATACATATCGAGGAGAAAGCGTTGGTGGCCTTTGATAACCAAGTTGGACCCGACAATCTCTATGAGTGATGATATGCTAGGGTCGCTTCTTCTGGACCACGCTGGACTTTCAGCTCAAGAGAACCTGATGGTGATGACAGCCACGGGTAACAACACAAGCCTCGATAAGATCAAGGATGTCTTGATTCTTCAGCACGGTCGAATCCACATCCGCCAGAAGGGAAAAGACTCTGGGAAAGGCTCTCCTGCGTGGACCAATGGATACGGTCACAGCAAGAGCCGAGGTAATGGTAAGGTCAAGTTTGCATACAACGCTGATTGTAGATGGACCGGTACCGATGAGGAAACCCAGAGGAACAGAGTCCACTACTCGTCAGGTTACACTCAATAATACGGTTGGGATGACAGTGCATGGAATGATGATTGGTACGAAGATGACTACGGTACGGCGTATCATTCGCACGATACTTCATACGGTGATGAGTATGTTAGCCCTGTGAGCGGTAACGATGTGGGTGACCCGTTAGATGTCGAAATGATCGATCAGATGACTTATGCAGGCTATACTGAGGATGAAGCCACCGAAGTGGTACAAGAAAACTTGATCGCGAACTATGGGTCGAAAGGTAAAAGAAGCAATGGCAAAGGCAAAGGCAAGAGTTTCTCGTCTTGGAAATCTTCGCCCAAGGGCGGTGGCAGGAGCGCACCGACTCTTGAGGAATCAAAGCAGCGACTCCGTGAGATCAAGAGTAGAAGCAAATGCAAGGAATGCAATCAGATTGGGCACTGGAAAGGTGACCCAGAGTGCAAAGGGAAACCCCGCACTGCGATGATGGTTACGTTTACTGGTGATCGTGACGAACCTCTTCAATATCATGGTGATCAGTATGCGCTTACAGGCTCAGTTGCGGTGTCCCTAACTAACAAACCTCATTCTGTTCTTCTTACTCTTCCTCCTCTACTCCTTTCGTCGTATGTCGTCGCACGTGTAATGTGGAGGGAGAGAGTTGCAACGGGATGTGTACTTTATCGGCAAGTCATGAGCAGAAGCATTTATGCAGTGCTTGTGTCGAGAATGTCTCAGCAGCAGAATCTTAAGAGGATGCGTTTCCGTCTCAGATTGTTTCTTCGACCAACCCTCAGATTTCTCCTGGGACTGATGAGGTGAAAACCACGATGAAATGGGAACGTGTAGTCAAGGGGATTTTGTTGCGTGATAGTCTTGGACCCGGCGAACAAAATGCACCCGAAAAGAAACCAAACGATGAACCGTTGACGTCAGATTTCTTCGGGTATATGGCAGTCAAGACGAAATTCAGGAAATCGAAACTGCTTCGAACAGTAGATGAAGAAGATGAGGAGGATGAAGAATCGTCTGATGCGGACTTTATGCGCACAGAAACTGTGAACATGTACGCTTCTTTCCCAGGTCATGATACACTGTTCGTAACAGGTCAGCACAAAGGGTTGAGTTACGCACGAGTTGTTCGCATTCATCCTGATTATGTAATGTGGGGTCGTATCACGATTCGTGCCGAGCGTGACCCACCTTCGATTCGAGGTTCAGCCTCTAGCTCCAGCGGAGCGGAGAGGCAGAAGCCTCCGAATCCGCCTCCCGAGAAACGTTGTGAGCACGGATGTCACTTCTTCACGAGAGCTGGTTCTTCTGCCAGGTTCATTAGGAAGACGTGTCGACAGTGTGGTCATTCGACGCAGGAAGAGCGGTACAATAAACAGTTTGATCCTAAATATTGTCTTCACGATGCGATCGATCATCGAGGCTCGACGTCGAAACTTGCACGTTCATGTTGTGCGAAATGTCTTACTTATGTGGACGAGCACCCAGGAGAGCTAGCATAACAAAATAAACAAACGGCTGACAAAGTAAAACGTGCGTCGAACTTGCAGGCCGAATCGATGGACAAGATAGTTGAGACCGATCATGTGTTGAACCCAGAACAGTTGAAAGGGATCCTAGCCACCTTCAAACGTCGTGCGACTTCGATCGTCGAAGATTGTGGCGAAGTGAATCTCAGTGAGTTGGTACCCTTGCTCCATGATGTTGTCACAGACACATGCGATTCCGACGCGGTAGCTTCTATGGATCAGATTGCTCCCAAGCTGGCTACAGCCCCAAGCATGAGCTCTCCTCTCGAGCGCCTTCGTCGTGTCGATATGTATGATGATCCAGGCGCATGGGAAACCCTGGATGAAGGCTGCAATTCCAAGTGTCATGGACGTAATGGGCTTTCAACGCTGAGGATAAGTTTGAGAAGCATGGATTATATGTTGAGTGGGTTCACCGCGAGAAGAAAGCTTATTCAGGTATTGGTGGTAATGCTTCCAGCGAGACGATTGGCAAGAAAGCTTTCCCGTACCGGATTTGCGCTGATGGAGGTTGTGTGTCTGGCAGTCTCGAATCTCATGAGTTGAGGGGACAGGATCACGTGCCCTCTCTTCTCTCCTTGCCGGCTCAGGCGAAATTGGGATTGACGAGAAATCTCTCCAAAGGTAGTGCTACTATCCCTTGTGGTGAAGTAGAGCTTTGCAGATGTGCGAGATCAGGTCTTCTTGTGGTGCGTATTGACCAGTTTCAAGGACTTGTGCAGTCAGCGATGGGACCGAGCTTGCGCCCTCTTCATATCAGTTTTGTTGCTTCTCAATCGCAGGTGGTACAAACCGACCTGGAGGGCAGCAGTGATGCAGAGGAAGTTCGCACCACGTTCGCCGCGAACAAGGGCAGGGACAAGCACAGGGACAAGGACAAGCACAAAGGCAAGGACAATGACAAGGACAAGGAGCGGAGCGATGATGTCCCCATGGGTGTTGGTACTTCTATGAAGCCGTTCTTCAAACGTATTGAGACGTATACGATGGGATTGGACAACTTTGAGTCACATCTTCATTGCAGCGGTAGTGCGATGCTCATTGATCACATCCATCACGTTTACAAGGTCAAGAGTAGTCGGATGATACTGGAAAAGGATATAGACACCGTGCATCGGGCCATCGTTGCAGCGATGCCACGAGTGTTCTCACAAGTGGATCAGGTTGCTTTCATTGATTGTCGAGGTCTTAATGATCCTACCAGTACGAGGCACATCGGTTATCATCCAAACATTCTCGAAGCTTCAGTGGAGAACGACAATTTCAATGAAATTACCCACGAGTCTATGTTATCTCTGTTTGGACATGCTCAGAACACGCGTATTGCAGTGATTTTCATATGTAAGAGTGGTAGACACAGGTCAGTTGCTTGCGAGTGTGGATTTAGTAAGTGGCTAATGCGCCAGGAAGTTTCAGATGAAGTTCTTGCTTGCGCGCATCTTTCAGAACATGAATGGAACGATAAAACCTGCGGTGGTACTTGCTCTGCTTGCGAATGGAGGTTGCCTTGGGCAGACGAAGAAGGACACAAGGCTTTGAGCCGTATGGAGACAAATTATCAATATACTTTTGAGCGGATCCTCAGTGAGCAGACGCCATCCACCCGTGCCATCAGGGGATCGGCTGGTACGTTGCGCGCGTCGAGCTCTGCAGAGCCGACGAAAGAAAAGAAACATCTTGAAACCGCTGCCAAGAGTGGTGCCGTCGCCAAAAAGCGCCCGGGAAAAGCAGATTGTGTCGATGATTCTAAGCGCGTGAGGCTTCGTGATGTTGACGACGAAATGATCTCCAAGGTATCAAATCCTTCGTCCGCGGTATTTGGGAAAAAACACTAAGTCTATGAACTACACGGAGCACGCGATGCTTGACGTTCTTTCAGTATGCCGAGGCAAGGCACTTCAGTATTATTATCAGCTGTGCAGTGAGACGGGAGCAGAAACGGTTAGCTATATGGAGATAGTGGCTATTGCTAGAGCAGAATCGGCTGCGGGACCTTCCCCAGATGCTGCGTCGAGCTCGGCAGGACCGGCGCCGAAGGCTCCATTCCAGGGTACAGGTGAAGGTTCTTCGATGGGATCAGCGGTGCGGATTCCTCCGCTTCCGCCTCCGCCACCGGCTGCGCCGGGGCCAAAGCCGCCCGTGAAGCCGCCTCCCGATCATCTCCTTCAGGAATCGGCTGGGATAGCCAAGCCGCCACTGCCGCCAGCGCCGCCGCCACCGCGTGTGGTGCGAGCCGCCGTAGCAGCAGGATCTCGTGCCAGAGACCTGTCTATCGATGAAAAGCACGACCCAGTCGTGAGCTATGAACCTCTTGAAGTAAATGGTGATAATTTGGAAACTTTGTTTGGAACAAAAGAGCGCAATTTCATGACGTACATTGGCCCCAATACTTTCACTGATCGTGGTGTTACGCCCGAGAGCACATGCCTCGAGAGCAGGGGCATGATTCTTGCGAATTGCAAGTTTGATCCTTACGACACGAGGATTAAGTTTCCCAAGAATATGAGCAGATGGAAGAAATCTACATTAGGACGGAACCGCGATAGCGGAGAATGGGATAAACTCGAGAATCGAGTTCCGATTGATTCTTTCATTTCGTGTGAGGAGTATGACAAGATCTGTTGTTTCGCACGGCCCCCGAGGATTTCTGCAGATGGTACTTCATATTTGTGCACTTCTTTGAACCTCGAGGAGCATAACATGACGGTGGTGAAAGACAAAAAGCGGAAACTATGCAATGATGGAATCAGTATGATCGATTCGTCCGACAAGTTCGTCAGCGACGTGCTCAAGCCGAAGTTGGCGTTCTCGAGCGTGGTGAAGATCTTGGCTTTCGTCATCGGCATGACCATCTCGCCGGCGCACGGCGAGGAGATCGTGGCTCGCGAGAGCCTGGGCCCAGGTGTTATGAAAGAAATCGTGTCGTCGAATCCGGATTTCGTCATCGCCGACACAACAGAAACTAATATATCGGTAGTGCGTGACTTCTGTGAAGATTTGGCTCAAAACAATGGCTCAGTTACGGTTACTTTTGGTTATCAAAATCGGTGTTCTAATAAAGAGATCACAGATGCTCTGAACTCCTATCTAGAGTCAGACGATGACCTTCAGAGTCCGAACTTCGTTAGATTCTTGAGAGATTTAGGTCGCCAGATCAGGTTATATAGGCTTGTATCGACAGCTTTCCCCGCGGAGGCCGCCGCAGAGCGTATGGTTGAACCGTTCGATAGTGTTGAAGATGCTGAGGATGTCGCAACGGCACCTCAGGAAATGCTTCGAGATGAGGAACAAGACATCATCGAAGGGTTACCTTTACCAGGGGAACCAACATCTGAAGGAGAGCGACGGAAAGCATGGCTGAAAGTTTCGCTCAGAGTTAGGATAGTTATTAGACGCTTACACAGACAATTTGGTCACTGTCCTAACCGTGTTTTAGTACAACTTATGCGCTTATCACGTATGAGGGAGGAATATATTGATGCAGTCGAGAATTACAGATGTGAGAGTTGTGAACATAATAAACCCTTGGCTCAGACGCATAAGGTCGCTATGCCGAAGAAATTTGCTTTCAATCATGAAATAGGTATCGATTGTCTAGAAGTTAAGGACAACAATGGAGAACGTTACACTTTCCTTAATATTGTGTGTCACGGAACAACATTCCAGCGAGTAATCTTTGTCAAGAAAGGAGGTGGTGCCCCATCTTCGAGAGTGTGCCTGGATGCACTGCAAAGTCATTGGGTTGCTTGGGCTGGTTTTCCGAAACGTATTGTTCTGGACAGAGGTCTGCATAATAGAGGAGTTTTCCTTATGTGGGTAAAACACAACGGGATCGATCTCAGAGACGCAGGAGTCGAGTCCCCGGAGCAGATAGGCAGAACAGAACGACATGGTGGATTATGGAAAATATCTTCAAGGGGGTTGTACGCGACAAGAATATAATCGGGGAGATAGAGGTGCGATCAACTGCGAGTGAGGTAGATAACACCAAGAACGAGATGTCAAGAATTGGAGGCTTCTCTCCATCACAATGGGTATTAGGCAGATTGCCGCGTGTACCAGGAAGTCAGTTCGACGCTGAAGAAGCCTTTGATCTTGGTGTACTTGCTAATGTTGCTGAAGACGGATCGGGTGAGTCTGCTAGGCATGCAGCGATCAGAGCTGCAGCCCGCAACACCTTCGCTGAACACGACGTTGGTAGCAGGACAGCGCGAGCTGCTCTTCGCAGAGCCGCGCCTGTTGCTGGACCATACTCTGTTGGTGATGTAGTTTGTTTCAGGAAACGCCCGACAGAGGGAGACGTTGGTGCCAAATGGAGTACAGGATCGAGGATTGTAGGGTTCGATGGGAAAAACGCTTGGGTAATTACAGAAGGTGTACCTGTATGCGTTGCGACAGATAGACTTCGTCCGTGTACGGCCGCAGAGGCTCTAGCGTATGAATATCTCTCCAAGCACCATGACGGTTGAATTGGAAGATATGCGCCTCCAGAGGGGGAGCAGCAGTCATTCGTTGATGAGCGTCGAGAGATCAACGAGCCGGGATCTGCATCAGGAGCCAGACCCGAGACTGTTGCAGAAGTTCAGCAGCCCGAACGTCAGGAACAAGCAATCGAACAGATGGACGAACAGCACGGAAATCCGATAGACGATGGTACGGATGATGATTTGATGGACGACGATTTAGCTATCGTGCCTGTAGCTGCACAGCAGCGCACACCGCTCCAGAGGAATCTATTAGATGATGTACCCCACGATATACGCGCACGCGAGGAAGTGATGCGCAGGAGGGTAGACTCCGCATCAGAGCCCGCTCCCGAGCCAGCGAGCCCGCTGCTCGATGCGTGGAATAGATCAGGTACGACAGGTGCCGGTGTAGACGTGCTACAAAGGCGATCCGCGAATGTATCACTCGTTAGCTTCTTTAACGAGCGGATGACCACTAGGGGTCAATCCAGAAAGAAATTGAAGAGCTCCAATAATATTATTTATCATCGAGAATCAGATCAAGTTAAAAGCGGATTACGTTTAGCCAGACAAGCTGAGTGGGGAAAATGGAGAAACTTTAATGCTGCGATACCAGTTGGACCTGAACAGTTACAAGAACTATTGACATAATGACAAATGGTTCCAACGCAACGTATTGACATCGACAAGAACGAACATCTTCGTAGAGAAAACGGGCCATTAGTGGACCCGCTCTACAAGAGCAGGCTAGTAGTTAGAGGTGACTTGGAGGATCAGTTGGGTATGCGAACAGATTCTCCGACGTGCGAGTTGGAAGGGTTAAGGCTCATCATATCTTGGGCCGCAGGCGCCAAGAAGACTTTGAGATGCGCCGACATTACGTCAGCATATTTCCAAGGCCAAGAGCTAGATCGACTGATGCTTCTCAAGCCGCCGCCAGATGGACTCGAAGGAGTACCGGATGATGGTGCTTTGATTGCTTGAATGCCTGTTTACGGAACCCGTGACGCGGGTAGAGGCTTATGGAAGAACATACGTGCACGATTCAAGACACATGGTTTACGTGAAAATAAGATCATGGCCGCACTTTTCAGTATATCGAATGATAACAAGGAAATTGTATGTTTGCTTGGTACCCATGTAGATGATATACTATGGGCCGCCGACGATGGATCACAGAAGATCATAGATCGTGTATTAAGCGAGTTTGATATTAAGGAAACCAACTGTGGAAACTTTCGTTATTGTGGATTGGAAATCGATCAAGGTGATGATTTCACTATTAGTATCACGGCAAAGGATAATGTGGAGAAAATCGAGGCTATATCCTATGCGCGGGATAGTCCTCTGACTAGGAAATGTAATGAAGGAGAAACATCTCAGTGGAGATCGGTTGTTGGTGCTTTATCTTGGGTTTCTCGTCAATGCAAACCAGAATTGCTTTGCCGGGTGAGCAGACTACAAACAGTAGTGAATCATGCAAAGGTGCTACACTTGGACGAGGCGAATAATGTTTTAGAAGACGCTGTCCAGACATCTGGCACAGGACTTGTGTTTAAAGGTGGGTGCCGTTAAATGGGATAATGACATGCTAGTACTCACGATTACGGATGCAGGTTGGTCTGGAGAGCAGGATCTTGTTCAAGGAAATTTAGAACCTCTCGGATCCCAGAAAACGAGATTTAATGGCCTTGCCGGGCCTGGATTTGTAGAAGGGAATAATGACTACGTACACCCAATATGCTTATCTAGCAAAGTTATCAGACGTGTGTGCAAATCTACGTTGCAAGCTGAAGCGTTGGCTTGCTTGTGGGGTGTAGAATCAGGAGTACGCATGCGCGTCGCCATTGCTGACGCGCGTGGTCTCCTTGGAACTAGTCACAAGCTCCATCCCGACTGGGAGGGGAAGAGCGCTTTGATCATGAGACATTTGTGGCTTACATATGGTAAGAGCTTGGAAGAACACTTTACGGCATCTACACTTGGAAAGGTAGAGGATAAAACGTTTAAGTATCGTCTTAAGTAGCTTACGTCAAGATATAATATGGACAATTGGAAATGACGAGCAGGAAATACTTCAGTTGGGGTATAATATCGGATGGATAGATGCGAGTATAATGGTTGTGGATTGTCTTTGCGAAACATATGGCTACGGAATTTCTGACGAATATACTCCATACCAGTAAATATGATTGAACTCTCGACCCGGGATCGACGATGAAGAAGATAAAGAAACAGATCGCGAGAGCCAAGAGCGCTGCTACCCCTCCGAGGGAGTAAGCACCGACAATATGAGGCCGTTTGGGCCGCCTTCATGTGGAGACCGTTTGGGTCTCATCCACATTCAACCCGTTTGGGGTTTTTAAGCCCGTTTGGGGTTGAAATGCATATTGTATCCCAGCAGTTGGGATAATTGCATATTTAATGCGCCTGGAGCCGACGCGCATGGCCTAGCTCGTGATAAAGTTTCACGGGTGTGAACGAGTGTGCTCGTATAGCATGTTTGCGCCACTCGCGGCCATTTCGGCTCTAGGGCGCCCTTGAAGCCACTGGCTTGGTTGCGAGTGCCCTCGCCTTTAGAGAAAAAGTCAATCATAATCACACCGTCGATCAACGAGAATGGCAGGGGGCACCGCGTGGACGGCGCGGCTTTGTGGACCTTCGGAACGCCACGTTTGCCGCGCCAAGGGGGCCGCTACAACATGGACTGCAACCTCAGCCACCACCTGCGCCCGCACAGCCACCAGAACCCCCATGCGCAGCATAGGGGCTGAGTTCAAGCTCGTGACGGAGATGATGAAGATCAACCACTGGCTCGGCGGCGGCGTGTACAGGTGGAGTGGCCGGATGGCTCGTGCAACATGCCGGAGTCATGGCCCCTGATCGTCGGGACTGAGTCCCGCGCGCCATTCTAGCTACACGGATTGCAAGATGTGCGACGACGACAATTCCGGGAGAGGATGTCATCCCGCTGGGTAAGCTACTGAGACGACGCATATCTTAATTGCATCACCGAGGCTATTTGGGAGGATTCGTCACGCAACAGTCTGGAGGTTCCTTTCGATATTCCTGTAGTGCGCGACATGGACATGCTCGACATCGCGGCGGAATATACTTAGAGGGCCGAGCAATATTCATCGGGAGCACATGATCCAGTAGGAGGTGCACCGCCGCAAGGAGATGGGGCAGAAGGTCCGGCACCGAGAGGGCCTCCCCAATCCAATGGGGTAGACAATCCGCCTCCAGCAGCTACGCCCCCCAACAAGTCCAAGGAGTCAGCCTGCGCAAGCAGCTGACCGTGCACCTCGGGAACCTAGCGCCCCGCAACGACAACGTGCACGACAGAAGTTCAAGCGGGAGACCCCGGCGTCTCAGACAGTCTGCACGGAGCGCGCACACATCGGGCACAACATTGCCGCGACCGCCACGGACAAGCGCGTTCGTACAGCGCATGCTACCCACCAGGTGCTGTGCGAGGCCTTTTCTGCCGAACGAGCCGATCGGGTGACCATGGCGGAGATCAACGTCACGGAGGTGTTCACTAATGACGACGGATGCAGTCAGGAGCGCGCGGAGAAGGCCCTCAACGCGCTTGTCAAGGAGTGGAGTACCTGGTCCAAGTACGATGCAGTCACGGCCATCGCACCGACGATGGCCAAGAATATCGACAAGGCGTTGCATATCGAGAGTCGTGCCGCGCGGACGAACAAGGGCAGCGACTACGACGCCAACTTCCAGCCCAAGTGCCGGATTGTCGGCAAAGGCTTCCAGGAGAAGTGCGACGAGAAGTTGCGCAGCGACTCCCCGACTCGCTCGCCATCAGAACCAGCTTTGCAGCATTGCAGCATGCAAGCGGTTTTCATGCTTTACTGGCGACGCTACTGGCGCGTTTCTGCAAGGAGTCAAGATCGAGATGGAGCTGTACTTCAAGTTGCCCGAGAACCTACCGGGCACGGGCATGCCTGGACTCGAGGGGGGGGGGGGGGGTAAGGGGGATATTTAATAAGAGTATGTGGCGTGAGCCTGTTGTGGTTCCAACGTCGTTGTTGTTCAAGGTGGTTCTGCGCATGTTGACGTAGCTTTGCATGTGAATTGCATTGCATTGCATTGCCATCGCGTTCCGTTGCAATATCCCTCCTCCCTCCTCCCAACGTTCCTCCTCCCCCATGCCTCCTTTCACCCCCTTGCCTCCCCCCTTTGAGAGAGAGAGAGAGAGAGAGAGAGAGAGAGAGAGAGAGAGAGAGAAAGAAAAAAAGAGAGAGGAGGAGGGGGAGGAGGAGGAGGAGGAGGAGGAGGAGGAGGAGGAGGAGGAAGAGGAGGAGGAGGAGGAGGAGGAGGAGGAGGAGGAGGAGGAGCTGTTTTTCAGTAACAGTCACAGGTTCCCTTGTCTGAGGTCCACGAACCCTGTAACACCTACCAAAAAAACAAAAAGACCCCCAAAATACAAAAAATGTAACACTACCCAAAAAACCAAAAATCAATGGTTTTCGGACCCCGCGCTCCTGGCGGGCCTTCCTGGGGCCCGGAGCCGGGGCGAGCGGGGTCCGAAAACCTTTGATTTTTGTTTTTTTTGGTAGTGTCACAGTTTTTTTTGGTAGTGTCACAGGTTTCGTGGCCCTAGGACAAGGAAGCCTGTGACTGTCATTGAAAAACAGCTCCTCCTCTTCCTCCTCCTCCTCCTCCTCCTCTTCCTCCCCCTCCCCCTCCTCCTCCTCCTCCTCCTCCTGATCCTGCTCCTGCTCCTCCTCCTCCTCCTCCTCCTCCGCCTCCTTCTCCTCTCTCTCTCTCTCTGTTTCTGAGGAGGGAGGCAGGGAGTGAAAGGAGGCATGGAGGAGGAGGGAGGCAAGGAGGAGGAGGAAGGAGGGAGGAGGAGGGAGATTGCAATCCAATGTGATTGCAACGCGATGCATTGCGGTTCCGGTGCACTGCGACTGCAGAATGAGCGAGGAGGGAGGATGTGGGATATTGCAATGGAGTGTGATTGCAACGCAGTGGAATGCAATGTGATTCCAATGTAATGCGACTGCAATGCGATAGCAATGCAATGCGATTGCAATGCAACGCAGTGCGATTGCAACGCAGTGCGATTGCAACGCAATGCGATTGCAACGCTGCCTCTCACATCCTCCCACCATCCTCCTTCCCCCCTCCCTCCGCTCGATCCTCCCTCCCTAACGTCCCTCCCTCCCTCCCTCCTCCCTCCCTCCCTCCTCCTTCCCCCCCTCCCATCGCATTGCATTGTCCCTCCACAGACAGAATCAACATGTGGAGGTCCCTTCCACATAAGGAAACAAGATGTGGAGCACCCTCCACAAGAGAAATCAATATGCGCGAGGCCCCTTCTACATAAGGAAAAGATCTGGGGGAAGCCCCTCCGCAAAAGGAAACAATATCATCTTTCTCCTCACCTTTCTCCTCCTACTCCTTGTGCTCATTCTTCTCCTCAACCCCTGCGCCGGAGTGGGAGGAGGAGCAGGGGGGGGAGGGGGAAAAGGCAATCTCGCCCGCCACAGGAGATCTCAATTTGTGGAGGTCCCTCCACAGACGGAATCAAAATGTGGAGGCCACTCCACATAAGGAATCGATTTTTGAAGGCCCATCCACATAAGGAATCAATGTGCGCAGGTCCCTTCACATATAGAATGAATATGTGAAGGCCCCTTCCACATAAGGAACCAACAAGTAGGATGATATTCCACATAAGAAATCAATATGGAGACCCCTTGCACATAATTCGGGAATTAATATGTGGAGGTCCCTCCACAGACGGAATCAATATGTGGAGGCCCCTCCACGTAAGGAATCGATATTTGAAGGCCCATCCACATAAGGAGTCAATATGCGCAGGCCCCTTCACATAAAAAATAATATGTGAAGGCCCCTTCCACATAAGGAACCAACAAGTAGGAGGATACTCCACATAAGAAATCAATATGGAGACCCCTTGCACATAATTCGGGAATTAATATGTGGAGGTCCCTCCACAGACGGCATCAATTTGTGGAGGCCCCTCCACATAAGGAATCGATATTTGAAGGCCCATCCACCACATAAGGAATCTATATGCGCAGGCCCCTTCACATACAAAAAATAATATGTGAAGGCCCCTTCCACATAAGGAACCAACAAGTAGGAGGACACCTCTCATAAGAAATCAATATGGAGACCCCTTGCACATACATAGGGCATCAATATGTGGAGGTCCCTCCACAGACGGAATCAATATGTGGAGGCCCCTCCACATAAGGAATCGATATTTGAAGGCCCATCCACATGCGGAATCAATATGCGCAGGCCCCCTCAAACAAGGAATAAATATGTGAAGGCCCCTTCCACAGAAGGAATCAACAAGTGGGAAGAGGCCCATCCACATAAGAAATCATTACGGAGATCCTTGCACAAAAAGAATCAATATTTGGAGGTCCCTCCACAGACAGAATCAACATGTGGAGGTCCCTTCCGCATAAGGAAACAAGATGTGGAGCACCCTCCACAAAAGAAATCAATATGCGCGAGGCCCCTTCCACATAAGGAAAAGATCTGGGGGAGGCCCCTCTACAAAAGGAAACAATATCATCTTTCTCCTCCTCACCTTTCTCCTACTACTCCTTGTGCTCATTCTTCTCCTCAACCCCTGCGCCGGAGTGGGAGGAGAAAGAAAAGGAAATCGCCCGCCACAGGAGATCTCAATTTGTGGAGGTCCCTCCACAGACGGAATCAATATGTGGAGGCCCCTCCACATAAGGAATCCATATTTGAAGGCCCATCCACATAAGGAATCAATATGCGCAGGCCCTTTCACATAAATAATTAATATGTGAAGGCCCTTTCCACATAAGGAACCAACAAGTAGGAGGACACCTCTCATAAGAAATCAATATGGAGACCCCTTGCACATACATAGGGCATCAATATGTGGAGGCCCTTCCACAGACGGAATCAATTTGTGGAGGCCCCTCCACATAAGGAATCGATATTTGAAGGCCCATCCACATAAGGAATCAATATGTGCAGGCCCCTTTCACATGAAGAATTAATTTGTGAAGGTCCGTTCCACATAAGGAACCAACAAGTAGGAGGACAGTTCACATAAGAAAGCAATATGGAGACCCCTTGCACATACTCAGGGAATAAATATGTGGAGATCCCTCCGCATACGGAATCAACATGTGGAGGTCCCTTCCACATAAGAACCAACGTGTGGAGGATCCCCCACAAAAAGGAAACAACATCATCTTTCTCATCATCTTTCTCCCCCTACTCCTTCTGCTCATTCTTCTCCTCAACCTCTGCGCTGGAGCGGGAGGATGATGGCAGAAGGAGGAGGAGGAAAAGCAAATCGGCCGCCGCAGGACGAATCAATATGTGGAGGTGAGGAGGAGGAGGAGTGAGGAGGAGGAGGAGGAGTGAGGAGGAGGAGGAGGAGGTGGAGGAGGAGGAGGGCGAGGACGAGGACGAGGACGAGGAGAAGGAGGACGAGGAGTGAGGAGAAGGAGGAGGAGGGGGAGGAGCAGGAGGAGGAGGAGGAGGAGGAGGAGGAGGAGGAGGAGGAGGAGTGAGGAGGAGGAGGAGGGAGACGAGGAGGAGGAGGAGCGGAGGGAGGGAGGAGGATGAGGAGGAGGAGGAGGAGAGGGAGGAGGCGGAGGAGGAGGGAGGAGGAGGAGGGAGGGGGGAGGAGGAGGAGGAGAGGAGTGAGGAGGAGGAGGAGGAGGAGGAGGAGGACGAGGAGGAGGAGGTGGAGTGAGGAGGAGGAGGGGGAGGAGGTGGAGGAGGGGGCACGTGCTTCAAGTGCACGCTGGCGCCAACGCGAGTTGCCGCGCAAAGACGGCGTTGCCGCGCCAGGGAGAAAAGCCTCACGCCACATACTCTCAAATATCCCGTCCACGGGGGGGGGGGGGGGGTGCTACTCAAGCCCAACAGGAGCATCTACGGGGCCAACGACGCGGCACGGGCGCGGTGCAAGCGTATCGCCCCGATCCTGTGCTCGATTGGCCCCGAGCAACTGCAGTTCGAGACGGCCGCGTTCAGACTCATGCATCGTGGCATGCTGGTGGGTCTCTTGTGCTTACACATCGACGATGTGCTCATCGCTTTCGACATGGAGAACAACCGCGAGTTTTGCAGCAGCACCATCAAGAAGCTGAAGGAGCAGGTAGAGTTCCGTGCAGAGCACACCAGAAGGAGCGGCATGTACGGGCCGACGCTTCAAGCAGGACCATGACTATGTAATCTCGATCGACATCGGCGAGTACATCGACGGCATGACCGATTTCCGAAGGGCCCTTGAGAGGTTTAGGCGGGAGAAGGAGAAGCTTGCCGCAGCTGAACACCGAGCGCTAGGAGGCATGAGTGGACAGGTTCAGTGGGTGGTACGGCTTTTGCTTCACAAGTACAGTTTCGAGGCATCCAGGCTGGCAGGCCAGCTGACTCAACCGACGGTGCAGGACATGAAGGACATGAACAATATTGTTCGTTCTATCCGCCGCGAGGGGGAGATGGTGATGATGTTTCGTGGAGGTTTTGAATTCGAGAAGTCTGTGGCCATCGCCCCGCGCGACGCCTCATTCGAGAACGTGCCGAACCACGAGAGCCAGCGTGGATTTTACATCATGGTTGGAGATGGCGAACCACACCAAGCTCTACCCATGCATACTTTTATCCTGGTCAAGTGGACGTATCTGACGTGCTGTGCGGAGTGCCCTATCAGCGGAGGGCTACAGTTGTTCGGAAGCTCAAGATGTAACGTTCTTGGCTCGCGCAGCGTGCGCGTGCATCTTGTCTCCCAACAAGCTCGGCCATGCGTGCCGTTATGCAGCTGAATGTTGGCAAGGTGTTTTGGTTGCCGGCTCTCGTTCTCTATGGGATTGCATGGTCCAGGAGCGCGTCCACTTATCCGACCGGAGGCTTTCACTCGAGGATCATCAGGCAGGAGTGCCAGCGTGGAGGTATCAAGCGGGCATGGCCAGAACAACAGCTAGCCGACGGGCTCGCCAAGAAGATGGATGCACCCTGCCAAGACCGAGTCTTTCATGAGGACCTCTGGTCTTTCGGACCAGATCCCCGTGCACCTCCTCTCCGGAAGCGCCAGCTCACCGACCTGTGGGAGGAGCTACATCGATCCCAACGGGTGGAGCTACAAGAGGACGCAGACACTCTCAACGCCAACTACGCACGCCCTACAGACCACAGCGCCATGGGCGACATTAAGCAGGATTGACGTACACGAGGTCGCGCATACAGCTGAAGTGAGTTCCGCAGTGAGTTTCGCGTCGTCGCGCGCGATGCGTGCAGCGTTGTTTTCAGGCGTACTGGCGAGCAGCTGTTCATCGGGATCAGCTCCCCCGTTCTTTGCAGCAGGTACTGCAGCGAATGCAGCGCGTGACCCATCGATGCGTCGACAAGCTTCGCGCGTCCAGGTGGGGCCGTTCGATAAGTGGTCGCAGTTTTTGCTGCCGCCGTCCTGAGTGCATGCTCTTGGAGTTTCCATCGGCGCGCTGATCATGGCCGCGTTTCGTTTTTTGTTTCAATGTTTGTTCAAGGGGCAGGGGGCTAAGCAGATGCTTCAGCATGTGCCGGGGGCTACTGCATGCAGCGTCGCCGAGGGGCGCCTGCGCGCCGCCGGATTCGACTTCAACAAGCCACCGGACACACATGCGACGCCTCGCTCCAGCATCGCCATATTGGCGGGCATCGCGGGGCCATCCGCCATCGACAAGATGAAGACCGACGACCTTGCGAGGCGGACGCCTGCAGACATCGAGAGGAAGCTAAACGCCATGCCGAACTACGCATTGCAAGGGATTTTGCGCGAGTTGAAGCTCCCGGTGTCAGGCATCAAGGTGGGCCTTGTGGCGAGGATCGTCAATCCTTACAACCGTGGTTGGAACTTGTCTCGTTTTAACGTGAGCACGCGGCAGTGTTTCTTCGACAGGTGCTGGAGCACCAATGCTGAATGCAGGTTCAGACAGCGCACCGTCTCTTACAGTGTAAGGCTCTTCATGCAAGCTGCTGATCTCCAGTTTCTTAGCAGCAAAAACTATACTATGTGTGAAGATGAGCAGGTCTTGGGCTCAGCTCGAAGCGCAGTAGATCAAACAGTTATGATATTTTTCACTTCACTAGGTGTTCGAGGATTTGTTAACACAACATAAAATCACAAGTTGTGTGCCGCTGCCTTTTGCTCTAATCGTGTCAGGGGATCCCTTTTTGAGCTATCAGCAGATAACAAGTTATCAGATGTGTTCCAGTCGTTGCCTGGGGTTTCCCTGATTGCAGACTGCTGTGTGTGATTGATCGCGTGGCGACCACTTTCATAACGCTCGACGTCGCGGAGCTTGCAGCGATGAAAGACATCGTGCGCCCATTATCGTTGACGCTTGGGGCCGTCTCTGGGCCCTCGGGGGTTGCCTTGGGCACTTATTGGGCCGTCTTGGGGCCCTCTCGGGCCGTCCCAGGGCCGTCTTGGGGGCCTTTTGGGCCGTCTTGGGGCGATCTTGGGGGCCTCTCAGGCCGTCTTGGAGCGTCGGGGAGCCGAAAAGGCGAGAAGGCCAAACACTTTCAAACACTACAGGAAAAGCAATGGCTTTTGCCTCTTGGGGCCCTCTCGGGAGGCCTCTTGGGGCGTCTTGGAGGCTTCTTGGGCCGTCTGGAGGCCATCTTGGGCGTTTTGGAGCGATCATTCGGCTATTCTGGGCCCTCTTGGAGCGTTTTGGGGGTCTCTTGGGGTCTCTTGGCCCGTATTGGGGGCTTTTTGGAAGCTCTGGGGGCCCCCAGGGTGCGTTGGGGAGCTCGTCCCTCCACCCCCCCGCCCTCCCTTGGGCCCCCCCTCTAATCGGATTTTGAGCACCGGGGGGGGGGAAAGAGGGGGGGGGGGCAGCCAAATGTCTCACGCGCCTCTTCACCTCCGGCAAGCGGGGGTCGGCGGACTACCTTTTATGTTGAAATCGACGCTCTCGCTACAGACATCCTCAGAAAAGTATGAGAAACACAGCAGACCAACACAGCTGTATGTTTCGACGTCGTTTCCAACAGTTGCCGTTTCGTCAGGGACATCTTCAAAATTTCAAAAGTTCCCAGCATCTGAATGGTATCGTTTTCAAAGTGCCTCAAGGCAAAGAAGCAATATCCCAAACAGGACCCCAAGATGGCTCCAATAGCGCCCTCAAGACTGCCGAAAATTACGATTCGATTGGGGTAACTTCAAAACATGAAGCACATCCGACATCGCCCTTCAAGAAATACGTGCTTAATATCGTCTTGTAATCGCTCTCAAACTGCTTCAGGATCGCCCCAAATAGCCCTCCGATAACGACGGTTTCGCTAGGGATATCCTCAAACATGTTATCTTCCTAGCGTAATATTCCAACCATGTTTTGATAGCTTCAAGACTTCCCAAAAGAGCCCCACATGGGCCCCAGGATGACCCCACGAACGCCCTCAAGACGACAGAAAATACGAATTCGCTCGGCATCATACTAATAATTTACCAGCGTCGCTTTTGCAAACACAAGCGTTTCACCTGATACATCCTCCCCAAATGGGGATGTAGGAGGATATGCCACCCGACGATGTTCCTTAAAAGTGAGGCTCTCTCTCTCTCTCTCTCTTTCATTTTCTCTCTGCAGACATCCTCGCGAACATGCAACGTTGAAGTCTATTCCGAATTCTTGGCTTTTTCGAAATGTAGCCGCCGCTGCAAACATCATCAAACATGCAAGTTTTCGGTACCATCCCAATACATATGAAGCTCGTGTTGGTCTGCTGTCCTCCTGTGGTCTGCTGTGCTGGTCAGCCGTGCTCCTGTGGTATGCCGCGTTGGTCTGTGGAGCTATTATGGTTTGCCGTGTTGCTGTGGTGTCCCGTGTTGGTTTGCCGTGCTCCTGTGTTACCGTGCTCCTGTCGACTGCCGTGCTCCTGTGGTCTGTCGTGCTGGTCTGCCGTGCTCCTATAGACTGTCGTTCTGGTCCGCCGTGCTCCTGTGGTCTGCCATGATGGTCTGCCGTGCTCCTGTGGTCCGCTGTGCTGGTCTGCTGTGCTCCTTCTCGTTCTGCCGTGCTGGTCATCCGTTCACTTGTGGTCTGCCGTGCTGGTCTGCCGTTCTGCTGTGGTCTGCCGTGCTCGTCTGCCGTACTGCTGCGTTGTTGTTCTACGTTTCTGAGTTTCTGTGACGTCCTCAACAGGACATTCTCTGGCAGGCTTCGTTGACAAAGCGGCGATCCCCGTTCTTGTCCGGTCAGGTTTCTGAAAAATTGCCGTTTCGCTAGGGGGCATTCTCAACAAATCGGTTCCGGAAGGGGTTCTGAGCCAACATCATCGTGGAATCGCTCCCGGAGGGTTCCAAGATGGCCCAAAGGAGTACCCAAAGGCTCCCCGGAGGACCCCCAAAGCGCCCCAAGGGGCACCCAAGAGGCCCCCAAGAGGCGCCCAGAGGCCCCCAAGAGCGCCGGACGAGGCTCCCATACTGCCCAAGAAAGCCCCAAAACGGCCCAAGAGGGCGCCAAGATGGCCCAAGAGAGCCCCCGCATACCCTCGAGACGCGCCCAGACAGCCCAAGAGGGCCCAAGAAGCCCCCAAGAGGCTCCCCGAAGGCTCCCAACAGGCCCTCGAAAAGGCTCCCAAGAGGGCCCCAAAGGGCCCAAGTGAGCTCCAAGAGCCCTCGACGGCCCACGAGGTCCATCATGCGCCCAGGGCGGCACACTAGCTCGACAGACCAGCAAGGCAGACCAGCACAATGAACCGACACTTAGTACATGTCTTGGTCTGAGGTGTTACGTTTCTGAGTTTCTTTGACGTTCTCAACCATACATCCTCTGACAAGCTTGCTCGATAAAGCGGCGCTTCCCGTTCTTGTCCGGTCAGGTTCTTGAGCTCCCGTTGGTGCAATCGAGTACCATCGAGGGTCGGGGAACTCAAAGTGTCGGTTCGAAATGCCCCTCGTGGTCTTGGGGCCCTCTTGGGAGTTTCTTGGGCCGTCCTGGAGTTCTCTTTGGGGCCTCCAGGGCAGCGTTGGACGCTGTTAAGAGCAAAGAAGCGAATACGCAAAGCATGTACGTTTTCCCAACGTATTGGGACGGTTTTTGCTTCTTGGGACTTTTTCTGGGGTCGTCTCGGAGCCCTCTTGGGCCGTCTGGAGGCCACCTGTGGTGTTTTTGAGGCCTCCTCGACGTGTTGGAGCCCAGCTCGAGCCAGCTTCAATGGCATGGTGGACATCTTGGAGGCCGCGGAGTGCAGATTTGGGGGCTCTGGGGGCCCCGGGCATGCGCCGGGGAGTTCGTGCCCCAACCCCCGGGGAGCTCGTGCCCCCCCCCTGCCTGAACGGTGATTTTGGGCCCTGGGGAGGGGGGAGGGGGAAAGGGGAAGTGGGACAGCCAACTGTCTCGCACGCCTTGTCACCTCTGGCAAGCGGGGGCCGGCGGATCCGCATGATGATCGGTTGCGCGGGGGCCACGTTCGTCACAAATCAGTTCTGGTGCTCCCTCATGTTCGCCCCGAACGTGGTGGGCACCGCCAACGCGACCGCAGCGGGGTGGGGCAACCTCGGCGGCGGCGTCACACAGATTTTCATCGTGTGGTGCCTGTTCAAGCCCTTCCAGGAGATGGGCGCGAGCTCTGACACGGCCTGGCGCCTGTCCATGGTCGTCCCCGGTTGCGTCTTCGTCGCGGTTGCCATCAGCATGAAGCTGTTTTGCTGGGACATGCCAACGGGGCCCCGCTTCAAGACCAGCGACACGGGCAAGACATCAAACGCGTCGATGTGGGACTACGTGGAGTGCTTGAAGGACCCCAGGATCGTCATTATGATCTTCCAGTACGGCGCCTGCTTTGGCACGGAGCTGGTCATGAACGCGCAGCTGGCCACCCATTTCCGCGTCTACTTCCAGATGGAGGCCGGCGCTGCCTCTGCCCTGGCAGGCTCCTTCGGCCTGATGAACTTGTTCGCGCGCTCATTGGGCGGCATCTTCAGCGATTTTCTTTTCGCCAGATTCGGTTTCTCTGGCCGTATTTGGGCTCAGTTCCTCTGCCTTTTCCTCGAGGGCATCTTCCTGCTCGGCTTCGGATCTGTGGAGAACTCGCAGCCTTGGTACGTCGCCCTGGCCGTCTTGCTGTGTTTCTCTCTCTTCGTGCAGATGACCGAGGGCACCAGTTACGGCATCGTGCCGTTCATGAACCCGAAGCAGCTCGCGTGCACATCCGCGCTGGTGGGGGCGGGCGGGAACTTGGGCGCCGTGATCGCCCTGTGGTGTTTCTACAACACCCTTGGGCCCATCGACACCCTGCTCCCGTTCAAGGTCCATGGTGCCTACGTGATCTTTTGGGCGATGACCTCTCCGGCGTTCTACTGGGCCGACAAGGGCGGCATGTTCTGCGGCGCCAGTGACCCCGCCTTCCAGAAACCCGCGCCCAAGGAACCAACAGTGGCTTAGATCCAACTCGAGGGCCAGCCAGAGCGGCGAGAGAGAATCACAGCGCAGCCGCTTCTGCTAGATTTTTCCGTTGGGGGACAGTTGGGTGCCTGATGGAGTCTCGTACTTTTGCTGTCTCCGGGCGGCCTCGGGGGCCAAGGAGGGGGCCATTCCGGTGGCCGAGGAGGAAATCAACATTTGAGCGTCTGTAGAGGGCGAGCAGATGCCCCGAAGCGATGCTGGTCTGGAGCTCAGCACCGTGACTTTGTGGCGTTCCTGCGTCATGAGAGCCTCCGTAGAGGGCGGCCAGATGCCCCGAAGTGATGCTGGAGCGAAGCCCAGCACCGTGACTTTGTGACGCCCGACGTCTTCCTTCCCTCTTCCATGCCTCCCAAGAGTGCCCTACCCTCCCCTCCCCCGTCTGGTTTCCGATAATTTGCCGGCGTGAACTGTGTGTCTGAAGGCCGTCTCATGCAACGGCAGAACAATTTGTGTGTACGTTTTGCGACCGCACTTGCGCGGCGGGAGGCAAGTTAAGCAAATATTGCTTGCTGTTTGGTTCAGAGCGAGGGTGCGAGCTTGAAGGCCGTCTCTCAGCCCGCGTGCCATCCTGGCCCGCTAATCGGATAAGGAGGACCATCGGAGGGGAGAGAAAATATCGCTGGTTCGGGGTGCCCACGTCACCAACCCCGACCAAGGATACCCCCCCATTGGAGAGCACACACAGATGAAAGCGGCTGCTTGGTACGCCTTGCCTCATCATCAGCCTCCTCTGCCTCTCTCCGCTTCGTCCTCCCTCCCCCTTCTCGCACCTCGTCTCTCCTCCCCCTACCCTCCCTCCTCCCTCCTCTCTCGTCCCTTGTCCCTTCTCCATCCTCGCTCCTCCTCCTCCTCCCCCCCCCTCCTCCTCTTCCTCCTCCTCTCTGTGACGACGACCGACGACGGCGGCGACCGACGACCGACGACCGACGACCGACGACCGACGACCGACGACCGACGGACGACCGACGACCGACGACCGACGACCGACGGCCGACGGCCGACGACCGACGACGACCGACGACCGACGACCGACGACCGACGACCGACGACCGACGACGACGACGACCGACGACGACGACGACGACGACGACGACGACGACGACGACGACGACGACGACGACGACGACGACGACGACGACGACGACGACGACGACGACGACGACGACGACGACGACGACGACGACGACGACGACTGACGACGACCTCGGTCCTCGATCCTTGAACCTCGATCCGTCCTCCTCCGAGACCTCGGCCGATCTCGCCGGCGCTCGGGCGGCGCGAGGCCCCCTTGCTGCTCTCTGAGCTCGTCGGCCCGCTGGGGGGCTTGCCCAGGGATCGGCCGGGAGGCGCCCTCGCGGCGCACCCGCCGAGCGTTGTCCCCCAGGAGGGCGGAGGAGGAGTGCGGAGGAGGAGGAGGGCGGAGGTAGCAGCAGGAGGGAGGGGATGGAGGGCGAAGCAAGAGGAGGAGGAGGGCGGAGGAGGGCGTAGGAGGGCGGAGGAGGGCGGAGGAGGACGGAGGAGGGCGGAAGAGGGCGGAGGAGGTGGTGGTGGAACTCTGCGTCTTGTCGATGACGACGTGCAGTGGCCCTTATAATGGGCTGGCTCGAACCTGGCCTGTAGCCAGGTTGAGGGTATGGAAGGCCCGATCCCTTCTCAGGCCCGTCCGAAGATTTGGTCGGCCCAGGCTGTCCCGCGCGTAGGCGGGCCAGCCCGAGCGGCGGCGGCACTCCTGCTGGACGGCAGGCACGGCCTGTGGCGCCACGCCTGCTGGACGGCAGGCACGGCAGCGAGAGCCTCGAGGGGACACCTGCGAGGCAAAGATTAGGCGGTCGGCCCAGGCTGTCCCGCGCGTAGGCGGGCCAGCCCGAGCGGCGGCGGCACTCCTGCTGGACGGCAGGCACGGCCTGTGGCGCCACGCCTGCTGGACGGCAGGCACGGCAGCGAGAGCCTCGAGGGGACACCTGCGAGGCAACGTGTGAGATCATTGGATGCGAGGCGGCCGGACCTCCTTCGGGCCAGGACCGCCTGGACGGCGCGGCACAACACTCGCGCTCAGCGCCATCCGGAGCGACCGTGCGCCGATCTGCTGTAGATGCGGCACATAAGAAAATCGTGGGAAATCCCAGAGCACGGTGGCGGGCGATGGGCGAGCCTCGCCTCAATCACCGAGTCGGCACAGCGGACGGGAGGAACGGCGGCGTCGAGCAAGTCAGCCTCTGCAATGCACATGCTCACCCGCCCTTGAACGACGTGGGCCGGGGCGGAGGCCGGGCTGCTCATGGCCTCGTCGTCGAGGGCGCCGCAGACCGCCTGCGAGACGGTGGTGGAGCTCGCCGCGGGCTCGGAGGGCAGTAGACCATCCTTGGCCTCGCCGCCTCGGGCGCCAGAGCTGATGTCCACCTCGTCGATGGTGTGGCACACGTCTGCGGCTTCATCGCCACCCTGTGCAGATCCTGGTCCCGAGCGGACGTTCACGGCCCTGACTGTCCGGATCGAGCCGTCATCCATACGCACCTGGTACATCGCCTTGGCGGGGACCACGGTCAGGATCACGGCCGACATTCCGTTGAAGGCAGTGGCCTCTCTGAGCCCAGTCAAGTGGACCTGAGCTCCCACGGGCTGCAGGAGGCCGGGGCCCTCGCCGCCCGCCGCGCGGGGGCTGGAGCACGGCGCCTGCTCCTGGTCAGGCTGCAGCAGGCTAGCCGCGTCCACGCCGTCCTCGTCGAGGTCGTCCGGGACCTTGGCCTGCTCCTGCAGCTCGCTCTCGCCGATCTCGCTGGAGTCGTCTGTCGCGCCTGCTCCGGCGCTGCCGTCGTCGTTCAAGCCGTTGCTGGGGCTGCGGCGGCGGGGCGTCAGTGCCCTGCGCCCAGCCCAGCGTCTCACCGATCGCTGCCGCGGCTGGGAGTAGGACGCGACCTGCCATCCTCCCCTCGCGCGGCGCGCCAGGTGCCTGGTGGGAGCCGTGCTGCACCGTCGCTGTGGCCGGCGCGCGGGCAGCGTGCCCTGCGCCCAGCTGCTGCGCGGCAGCACTTGCGGCGGCTCCTCCTGGCACCGGCCAGCGGCGTCCTGCTCGTCCGGCGTGTGCGCGGGGACGTGCAGTGTGAGCGGTCTTGGAACACGAATGGCAGCGGCAAGCAGTGGCTGCAACTGCATCTCCATGGTCGGCTTGTCCTGGGGCAGCGGCTGCAGCCCGGCGGCAGCAGCAGGAGGCTCCCTTTCTTGGACACGAGAGTATAAGGCATCTCCGTCACCTGGCCGAAGAGCATCGCCATCACGTGGCTGCCCGGCCGTCCGGAGAACAACGTCAGGTAGAGGATCTGCATGAACTGGTCGTTGACGGGTCGCTGAGGAGCAGCACCAGCGGCAGGCCGAAGGGCGGCGCGAAGGCGCAGCGCCAGGGTGGCGACATCGGCGCCCAGGATCGGCCTTCTGCGCCGGGCTGCGTAGCCCAGGCGGCAGAGCGCTGCCGCCTCGGGCCTCGGGGCCAGCCGCGGGGCCAACGCCGGTGGCATCTCGTAAGCCAT